CTTAACGCCTCTCCAACGTAGGGCAGACATGAGATGTTTGCTTCTTGCCCCTGCTAAACTCATTCCAGATCAGTTGTGTCGCAGTGTCTAATTTTAGGGACTTGGAAGCACTGTGCTGTAATGTATGTGTAAATCCAATGGAATATGTCTGACTGGACAAATCAACCATTTTTACCAGATAATTGTTCCGTGCCCCACCACCGTGTGTTTCTTGACCTTGGTGTGATTGTGGACTTGGGGTGGTGGACGCTTGCTCTCGACTTTGGAAGGCACAAAATGCTCCTCGCGCAGAATTCCCTCGTGTTCCCACGTTCCTTCCTTGTGCTACGATACAATGATACAATCCTCTGCCCATCGTGTGTATTTCGCCCCCACAAAATATACAAACAATTCACTTTGCAGTATCTTCTGTGAAACGCTTTGAGACGTCTCGGCGACGTGATAAGGCTCTATGTTAAATGCAAGGATTATTATTATTATTATTATTATTATTATTATCATCACCCTCACCCCGACCCAGCACAAACCAAGAACTTAAATCCTTTCCGCTTAATGTTTTTGGGTTGTCAGCATTCGCTCCCCCCTCCAGTCCCCTGAGCCACAAGGTCTAGAGAATATATTAATATTTCCTCAGGAAAAAATACCGCTGAATCTCACAATGGACTAAGAGAAATATAATTGATGCAGCTTAATATGAGTAATGTGGATCAAGCACAAGGTAGCTTGCCACACTTACCTCTGCTAATGATATTCTAAGAAAATGCCATGAAGGGGTGGAAACCTGTTACAAATCACTGACTCAAATCTACTTTTAATACGAAAAATCAAAGAATCATGGTTCATTTTGCATAGCCTTAAGGGAGCTGAAAGTATTAAAATGTACCCTTACCCTAGTGAATTTCAACAGTGACAAGGTTAAACTTGCAGGATTGATGAGTTTCTCTTTCTGCATGGAGTACCTGGTGTGTGTGTGTGTGTGTGTGTATATAAATTATATAGGTACAGAAAAAGAGTGAGGAACAAAGACTGAAGCCCAACAATGTTCGCTCCATTTGCTGTATTTTCCATCTGTGGGATGAGTTGCCACATTTGAGAGAATTGTGTAGACAAAAAGACGAAACAGTTTTAAAACTGCTCTTGCGATTGGATAGACAGATGGATTTAAATTTCTCCAGGATTTTAATTCTGTCACACTCCCCCCCCCCCCCCCACCTCACTCTCTCTCTCATATCCTTTTGGAGAACGTCATCACAAAGTTGCACCCGAGCTGTACAGTTGGCTATGGTCGCAAATTAATTTTGTATGCTAAATACGGTTCTTGTGTAGTAATTGTCTAATTTGTATGTAAATCACAAATCAATTGATGCTGGAAAACACAATAGTCCTAACAACGAAGCCGTTAGTGGACCAGAAATTAATCCAGCTTTCAAAGTTAATAATAATTTGCCTGGGAGCGAGTGTAAGGAAGGAGTGGGGGGGGGGAAGGGGTTTACTTCTGAGATATGGCTGGGCATTTAAAAGGGGTCGCAGTGTCTTCCTGTCTTTGTTGCTTTTGCAGTTAAAATATAACAACAATAATAATAATCCTAGCGTTTGATATAGCGCCTTATCCCGTTTGTCACCCTAATTGTCGCCCGAATGTAACAAGGCGCTAAAACAACAATGATTTACATTTACGTTGTGTCTCTGGCTGGACGTCTCAAAGTGCCGCACACATTGACTGGGTGCGGGAGCTGAGGGGGTTGCAGGACAGGATGGGGGCTGAAAGAGCGGTCGAAAAGATAGGTCTTGAGGAGGGGAGGGAGGGAGCCCGAATAGCTGAAAGCTCCCCCCCCCCCCCACCGATTGCGGGGCAGATAGGGCGGGGAGTGGGGGGGAGGAAGAAGCGGGACGCTCGTTTTCTGAGCGGACATACTCTCTCTGCTTTCTTTGGGGTAGCGATGAAGTGCAGTACTTCAGTCACACCTACTTGCCGCGCCGGCTGGAGTCTGGAAAGGGCTTGCCAGATTTTGAGCGTGTTACCTTAAATATCGGCACAAAACGCACTGCAAGCGATCCCGTCATTGAAGGAGGGGAGGGGGCCACAGCGATTCCTGGCACAACACGAAGGCTCAACCTGAATCGTTGGTAAAAGGCCAGACCACCCATGTTTCCAAGTAATTACCATTTAGGCAGCTTTCTGCTCTGAAAGAGAGTCTAAGGCAACAACGGGTGTGAACGCACGGCACAATTGTACCTGAACGAATAACTATTGACCGACCAAAAAGACATGCACTGCGCCAGAATAAGAATCCTCGCATTCGATATAGCGCCTTATCATATCTTCGAGGATATATCATAAAGCGGATTGACTGAGCATTTTGCGGGCGAAACTCGGCAGCCAATTTGCGCATCGCAACGTCCCACAAACATCCAGTGACCAATTTTATTTGGCGGTGAGAGAGAGAGAAACTCCTTTCTCTTTTCGAATAGATCTTTACAAAAATGGTTTGGCCCATCTGATCTCATCCTTTAGCCCACAAGAAAAGCAGCCCGGTTATTCGTATTGTCGGTGAAAACACTCATCGATGTGTTTGTGTTTAGCGATTTATTTCGTGCAGATGCCTGGGATCATTTCTGCACCTTCTCTTTCTCTCTCTCTCTCTCTCTCTCCTCTCTCTCTCTATCTCTTTGTCAGAAACAGAAACTTGTACCGGCACATGCAATCAGAGTAAACCACTCTGGAGCAGCTTGCTGGACTAATCTAAGATGTTCAATGGATGATAGTAATTGGAATCTTGGGCCGAGGTCACTTTATTGTCTTTCAAGTACTGTCACTCAAACCTAAAATACACAGAACTTAAATGACACCGCTTATTGCTTGTTTGATTGAATTCCTTACATCTTTTCAGTGGCTGTGAGTGCGTGCGCGCGTGTGTGTGTGTGTGTGTGTGTGTGAGCGCACGTGTGTTTTTTCGTACATCCTATTAAAATATTTTGTGCGTGTGGTGTGTGTCTGTGTTTCGCCCACTTCACAAGCCTGTCTGAGAGAGACTTGCCTCTGGAAAAAGTATAATATTGCCCTCAGTACCCGATCACCAGTCAGGGGGGGGAACACCTTCTGAATATTTTAGCACTTGATTCGACAAGGTTCCTGTGTCTCTTGGCGTGCTGCCTCCTAAGCTTTGCTTTTTTGGGGGGATACAAATAAAGCGGTGTTGAGTATGAGAATGAATCGCTTGAGTAAAACGGGCTCGCGTTGCTTGTGCATGTACTGTGCTCGGCAACCGCACTGCAGCCAGTATTAAACTTATAACTTAGCTTATGTAACCCCCCCCACCCCCCGAAGCGCATGGGGTGAGCGAGCTCGCCTCACAAGCGAGAGGACTCGGGTTCGATTCCAGGACAGGGCGAAACCTTAGGCAAGTTCCCTTACTCCACGCGCCTCTGTTTTCTCAGCAGTAAGTAGGAACCCAGTTGTTAGTCGATTGGCGGATCGCTTCCTGAGGGCAATCCACTTTAGAATATATTCTGTGAAGCGCTTTGAGACGTCTCAACTACGTGCTACGGCCCTATATCAAATGCAACGCTTGTTGTTATTGTTACTTAAACGAGCAGATGGGAAAGTGAGTTGCTAAAACCCCAAGATAATTTGAAGCAAAATAAAATAAAATGATTTAAAGTGCGTTATAAAATAATTGCAGGGTTTTTAAACTGCAACTCTCACTGATCTCAGTGTCACAGTTCATGACAGCAAGAGATGGAGCAGTCTGGTATATAGAAAACAAGTCAGCATTCATTCAGTGTAACAATAATATTTATTGAGTGTATCAATTAGCATTCAGCATCAGAACAATCCAGCCTTTGATTGCAGGCTGCCCTCTCCCTCACTTTGGTAGATTCTAGATCAAAGCAGCAATTAGTATCAGTGGCTGAATGTGATTTTTCCCTTTATTACAATCCCCAAGAGGAGTAATCCAGAGCGTCCTGTTGAATATTTGTAAAGGGACATTGACCCTAATTAAAAATGTGTCTCTACTTGAAGCCCACTTAGTGTTCTTGTTGGTTTTTTGTTTGTGTCCGGCTGTGCGTTGCTGCTAATGCCAGAAATTGAACTGTCGGCCTCGCTTGTGTTGTACCGTATTGTTGCTGCCGGGAAAGCTTTGGAAACCTGCTACTCTGTGCTGTGCTGTGAGCACTGCCCTGCAGTTTTGATTGCGGTAATCTCCAGCCTAGGCATCAATTTAAAATAACTGCAGAAAAATTACTCGACAAATGAATTTGTAGAAGAAAGTGTTTTTTTTTAAATTGCCTTTTTGCGTCTTTCTCCTTTATCCATCTCTTCAACACCCTCCCCCCCGCCATTCATCTTCTTCTCCCCGCTCTCCTCTCCCGCCCCCCCCCCCACCACCCCTTAAAATACTGCTTTAAGACATCTCAACGACTTGCTAAGGTGCCAAATCGAATGCGTGGCTTATTATTATTACTATTTGTTTTCCGACGAAACTTCAACTTTGCCTAGCCGTGAATCAGCAATTGGGAAATTATTAGAGTTGGAGATTGTTCAGGTATAAAGCTCTTGTTCATAATGTCTCTGATCAGCGTGGATATGAATACTGCACCAGGCTAACTGTAGAGTGCTGGGGACAGATTGTCACTCTAGCAAAATGGGCTTCTCTTCAGCCACTCCAGGGGTAAAGAAAATGCAAGGCTGATGGTGCCGTTCAAATAGGTGTATGAAGTTACAAACAGTCAGTGTGCATTAACACATTGGGATGTTGTCGTGCACTAAAACCATAGTAATAAACCCCAAGACTGAATAAGACTGGATAATTATTTTAATAGACTCCAATTACACATGGATTGGATATCAAATACAAGGAGGATTGATTATTATTATTATTACTATTATTTTTACTGTATTACTATTATTTCATTAACCAATGGAAATTGTGATATTCATGTATTTTTGAATGATTATTTCCCCCCCCCCTCTCTCTCTCTCTCTCTCTCACTTCTAGGACTGAACTGTACAAATCTCTGTTTGGAAAAATCAAGCCAGCTGAGGCAGAAATCTTCCAGCCTTAAGAATTGGGTCACGTTTTGCTCCAGCAAGGTGGATCTCAACTCCTCAGCCATTCTTGGAAGTCAGAAACGGCTTTATCACTTCTCACCACATAGATGAATGACCTCCCACAAAACCTGCAGCCAATTCAGCATGCAGTCTATTCTGTGAAGCGATTTGAGACGTCACAACCACGCAATACGTACGGTGCAATATCAAATGCAGAGATTATTATTATTACTATGACCTGCTTTTTACGGGGAGTTCAAAAGCTTGTACTGACGTGCGATTGTTACAGCGCGAGTGAGTTGAATTTTACTCCTCTCCTGGTAGGTACAGGGTGAGTCAAAAGTCTGTATAAGATATCAAACTGCAGGCCATGTGGACATTTACACGTGTCAACTCAGTGACAAAATCTTTCACTAACGCGATGAAAGACATTTACCGTAATTGCTCCCACTCTCTACCAATATTATCTTTTAAAAAGACAACGTAACTAATAATTAAAACCTACAAGTAAGGACTTCTGATTCACCCTGCAGAATCGGCTCGACCAAATGTTTTATTTATTCACCTTTTTAAATGATCTTCGTGAGATCAGCAAGTGATTTCTTCGCCCCAGCGGACAGCGTTTTTGTGTGTGTGTTTTTTTTTGTTCCTGCAGCAAATATTCACCATCGAGAGCAAACAACGAACAAATGCGTTGCCTCGGGGTAATTTTTTTTTATATAGCTTTTATTGATCGGAGGATTTTTATGTGCGTTATGCAACCTTGTAATTTGAATACCTGCGTCGCGCAAACAAAAATTATTGCTGTTTTAGGAAAGGTGTATTTGATAAAGATTAAAAGCAGTTCACTGAAAATGGCGCTCTGTTTACCTTGAATTGTGGGTTGTGTACGTGCCTGGCCCTGGAATGTGGGCTCAGTGATATCGGATGGTAACTATTCATTATCTCAAAGGTTTCCTGCACCATTCGACTGGTGTGGCACTTATTAAAAATGTTCCACCCGTTTTAATACTTTAAAAAAAACTTAGATAAGGTCCACCCAGCGCCTTTCATGTCGGCAGGACGTCTCAAAGTGCTTCACAGGATATACTGCGAAGTGCAGGGACTTTGTATTTTGTAGGCGAACGCAGCAGCCAATTTGCCCACTGCAATGTCTCCACACGCACACGCACAGCCACGAAGAGAATGGACGATTTTATCAAGTGATGGGAGGCGAATCATCAGCCAGGACTCCGTGAGTAACTAACTCTCTTCTCTTTTTCAGTCGCGCCGTGTGTTTTAGCTCAGAACGTCAGGCACGCAACAAACGCAGAAGCTCTCCTCGTTTTGTTTGATTTTAGCAACACTCGACTGCAGATGTACAGTCACTACGTTTTACAGTTAAAAACCTGCAAAGCCCTTTGAGGTGATTTGACAATGCAATGAGATGCTAACTTATCCAATGCAAGGATTATTATCAATATCTTACCAAAGTGTTTATAAACATGCACACATATATAGATAAATATATAGATATTTTTAATAACACAACATTTGCAGGAGGAAATCAAACCAAACAGAATTGGCACTTAATGTGCCGTAAATGGGATTTAAATGCTAAAACCTTAGCTTCAAAGATCAAACGGCAGGCCGTAATTATCAAATAAGCTTCCGTTAAATAGCAGAATCCAACCCTTCAACCTTCCGAAGCCGTGACTGCAAACTTTAAAGCACGGTGCGTCCCGATTTAAAGCTCAATTTAACCAAAAATAATTTCATGTTTCTGTCAGAGATGGGTTTGACTTCAGCTTATTTTAATGTATATATTGTATTTTTGGTGGGGCGCAGTTATTCAGGATTCCAATATACTTTGCCCGTAATGTGGGTTTTAAAGCAGGGAAACATTTATTTAGAGCACCCTCCTTTGTTTAGCTCGTAGTAAGTAGGAACTCGGTTGTTGGTCGATTGGCGGATCGCTTTCCAGCGGGAATAAAATCTTGGTTACTCAATGTACGTGGAACAATGCTGCGCACAATTGGCTGCCACGTTTCACCCACAAAATAGACAGTCAATTGACGTGACAGTATATTCTGTGAGGCGCTTTGAGACCTGGCAAAGAAGTAATAAAGCGCCATTTCAAATGCAAGGATTATTATTTCAAATAGAATGAAGTTATTAAAAGCCACGTCACAAGAACTGGCTTGGGTTGAACAAGGTCTGGTGTCAGGGTTGAAATGTCCTGTACATGACTAAAAAGTGCTTCGGAGCTGGAAGAAATTAGCCAGTCTCCTCTTAACAACTCATTATAATCAGTCCAGAGATTATGAGTTGAAGCGAGATTGCGAGGAAAGATTAAAATTTACCCTTTTATTTTTAATAAAAAAAGACATTTCGACCCCATTTTTTTAAAAAAAAGAGTTTTTTTCTATTTAGCTCACGGATGTGGGGAGGGGTCGATTGTGCTCGTTTTAAATTGCTTCAAATAGCCGTGATTTCAAATAGATTAAGGCCATAATTTATGACAAAGGGAGTTCTAAACATAGAGCCAGCTCCCGTTTAGCAGTCAAGTGATTGGTTTCTAATTGTGAATCAAACCCTCGGGTATTGAAACACCCTGTGTTTTTTTNGTTGAAGCGATGAGCCTTAACACGTTATTTTACAAATCCTTTCTTACAACTCGGGATTCGAAGGGGAAAAAGTCTCGATTTGTTTCGAAATCTAGTTTTTTTTAAAAAACGCATCAGGTATTGTTGCGGGTCCCTGCGGAACGACGATGGCTCAGGATTCAGTCCTGTGGCACCGAGACCGCATTGTGTTGACTCATTTTCTCCCCACAGAATTATAGACACTTACAGTGCAGGAGGAGGCCATTCGGCCCATGGAGTCTGCACCTACTCTCAGAGTAAACTGCGCTTCCAATCCCACTGGACCAGCCTTAACCCTGTACTTTTAGGGGCACTGTATAAACCAGTGTTTATAAGTCATTGTTTTGCGGCGTTTAAATATTTAAATGCGGCTCACGTTTCTTTCTTGCATCAAAATATAGATCTTTTTCCCCCGAAAGGCAGCAAAATAATGATATTATTATAATAAAAACAAAGTGAATCGAGTTAGTAAAGTGACACCGGAACAAGACAATAACATGTGAATTATGCCTTGAGTTTTTGTCCACCGTAACAATTATAATAATAATAATCCTTGCATTTGATATTGCGCTTTTCACGTTACGAGGAGATCTCAAAGAGCTTCATAGAATATACTGTGTGTGTGTGTGCATGTTTGTGCATATGTGTGTGTGGGGTGGGGGGGGAGGTGAGAAAAATAAACCCACGCGAGTGTTATTTCATTTCACCCACAGAAGCTTTATAACTTGCAAAATCAATGTGTATTGCGGCAAATGGCTGCAAACCCATTTCGAAGTTTAAATGTGCATTTAAAAAGAAAAGCCTGTGTTCCTGCTCGGACGGACCACGGTGATTGCTGGGCTTATTTTGCTTTTATTTTGCTGTTCGGGATGGAATCAAACGGAAAATAGAGCCCATCGACAAGCGATTAAAAACGCTTCACTGGCGGCGACTAAGATGTACACAAGTGCTGTAATTAAATTAATACGATCCCCAGTAAAAACAAACCAGGCTGGAAGGTGTCCAGACTTTTGTATTAATCTGTTCGGAAGAAAAAAAACGCGATTTGGAAAGTGGTGGTAGGGGTGGGGGGGAGGAAGAAAAATATCAAAATAGAGGAACAATAAGTAAAATTGGATTACAAAGTGTGTGAGTGTGCACGCAAAACAAAATATCTCCTGATTGCCAATTGCAGTATTTGTTTAATTGAGTTTACAATGGGATTTTTTCCCCGCTGTGTGACTGTGAATGGAGAAGGCTGCTATATTTATATGTAATCCTTGCCAAATGGTTATTAGCACCTCAGGGAGGCGGCTTGAAGCGCTTCGCTGGATTGACTGTGTAACTCGCAGCGAGCACGCCTTTTGTAGGCGAAAGTGGGATCTTGTTTTGTTCGTGTTTGTGCTAGGAATTCATAGAGCATCCATTTTATTTTCTGCCTTAAACTGTGTGTGTGTGGGAGAGGGGTAGGAAGAGGAGCAATACAGAAGAGTCTATTCTTCCTGTGACCATTAATCTTTCATTCCTCTAACGACCATAGTACTTCTATTATTCCAGTCATCGTTATCCTTTCACTTCTCCCACAACCATACGCTTATTACTTCCACGACCATAGTACTTTTATTACTCCCCGTGACCATTATCCTTTTATTACTCCGATGACTAAAACACTTTTATTACTCCAGCCGTCAACTGGAAACACGAGGGCGGGGTGGGTCGTGTCGAATTAAGAGCGACGACGCTCGAGGTGTGGGGGGGGGGGGGGGGTTGGAGAGCTAGTGCCCAACGGCAAAAGAGTTACCATCACGTTTCTAATTTAGTGCACGCAGACTGCGCATGGCGGCCTGTGTGCTTTTTCCTTCCCGCAGAAGACAAATTCTACATTTAAACAACTTCATTTCCAAAAGCGAGGCAGTAATTAGCTCCGGAATTAGTGAAGCCGATTTTTTTCCCCCCCGTAGATGGGAGGAAAGCTCGAGGGAGGGCGCGCCAGGGATAGAGAATGTCGCATTTCCAATTATTTTGTTGAATTGCTAATTCGCTTATTGCGCTGAGTTTAATTGTGATGGGTATTGCTGTGCAATTCAATTTGGCTTAAATATTTGTGGATCTGTCTGATTGATAATGAAGCAGCCCTGTTCCCTCTGAGCTGAGATGATTGTGGTCGTGTCCGGGGGGGTAGATGGGTGGGGGGGGGGGGGGCTTGAGGGTTAGGGTGGGGGAAAGAGAAGAGGAATGTGGTCGAGAGAAGGGGAAAAAAAAATAAAAGGCAACACAAACCAAAGCAACTTCAATTTATTTTTTTATTTTTTCATCGTTTCAATCCTCTCGAGATCGAAGAAGTTACAAAAGCCTTAAATTAGAAAACGCTACTTGCTTTGATCGCTAGCTTTCCCAAAGCACAGATTCCTTCACATCGCGCTCAAACCAATTTTCTCCCCAAATACCTTTGTCCTTGTATTACCCCCCCCCCACCAGCCCCCCGCCCCGCAAAGCTTCGCACTGCTTTATGTTACAGTAAACCGCCGAGAACTCATCACACCAAGGGGCTGAGTGACGAGTTATCAGGAGCAGCGAGTTAGAGACGTGTATAAATACATCCATTAATGTGGCCGGAATATTGACGAGCACGATGACTTGAGTGGCCGATGACACGTTAAGTCACGGTGTCGAGTTATCAGGAGTTCGACTTCACTACGTCTCACACCCCCAGGACTGTTTTTTTTTACTCATCATGGTGCACTGTCTCGGTTACTCTTAACAGATTGAGAGCAGGTGGGAACAAGAAGCGGTGAGAACTGTCTCAACTCTTGGTGGGGGGAAAGAGGCGGGTGAGTGTAACCATGTCATAAAAATTCTGCTGAATAACCCACAGCAGGACCTACCCCCCCCACACACACCTCCTTACTGAATCCCAGAGAGTAACAGGTCAGATCAACGGGAGAGGTGGGGGGGGGGGGAAGAGAGCCTTAAATTAGAAAACGTTACTCGTGGGGAGGGGGGGGGGGGCGGAGAGGAATTTATTCCATAAATTCCATAACCATGACATACCAAGCCAAGTGAAATTCACGCTTAACCACTCACATATGCTGAACTCATAAACCTTGCCATAGCACGAGTCAAAGAACACAGTTAAAGTCAGTCATTTTTGAGCCCTTACTACCTTAATTTTTTGTTTAACTCTTCGCAGATACCCTCCCAATTAAAAAAAAACGAGAACTTTATGTGGAGGGAGAGAGATAGATAGAGAGAGAGAGAGAGCGGGGCTGTGGAAGACTAGAGAAGTACATTTTGGAGCGTTTATAGGTCAGATTGCATTCCTATTTTTCTACTGGGAGTTTCTGATCTATTCAATGATTCAATTATTCATCTACTGTGGGTCAAATGTAAATCAGGTTTGATCACCCATCATTGAGCAGCTGATGGCAGTCTGCGTTGGGGGTGGATTGGGGTGGGGTGGGGGGGGGTCAAGCCATCGCACTCTCCAGGCTGGGAGTGATCAGATGGAAGGGCAAAGGTATGTGTTGGAGGGGGCAGTGGGGAGACGAGGAGATACGAAAAGGGGTTCTAAAAGTCTCTATACTTCTAGTCCCCAACGCCGTCCTGCTCTGCGAACCCAACCACAAACCTAACGCAAAAAAGGGCAACTCTGCTTTTTTTTAATATATGTATGTGTATATTGTAAAAAAAATGCCACTCTTACAATTATGCAGAATAAATAGATGTGCGATCAACAAACCAAACCCTGGTTTGTGTTTGCACTTTAGCTTCCTTTTGGCTGATACGCTTTACAACCACGACAAAAACTCCGCCCAGAATTATCTCTCAACTGGGACGAGATTTGGACACTAGGCAATGTACTTATTAATATGTGCGTCTCTTGAGTCATTTAGCCTGCATTATTATAATAATAATAAAATAATAATAATTCTTACTCTTCACTTTGACCTGCTAAGATTGAAGTCAAATGTCCAGAAGAGATACGACCCATTTTATGTAACCCACCGTTTCCCCTCCACCTCCCTCACCCACCACCACAACAAAAGGTTTTCAGACATCGAGGTTAAAAATATAGACAGAGAAAAATAATGAATTAATCGTATAATCAGATCCGTGGCCTTAAGACAGCCAAGCCTGCGTGTGTATACGTGGCACTATTCCCACGTGGGATCAGCAACTCAAGAGACCATAATCGATGTCCCAACTGGCAAAGCCAACTGGAACGTGGGACCCACTTTCACAGAACGAGGAATGTTTGCAAAAGTCTCGAAGGCTCCATTGCGAAGACCTAAGAGAGCGATTGGTGCCAGATCTCAACACGTCACCTCAGGTTAACATTCAAGTTAACCTCTTCCTCTCTCCCATTCCCCCACAACCAGCAAGTCTTTTCACTGCTGAACTGGCTCCAGCTGAATGGTGTCTGTGTGATGCGAGTCTGATGTCTCACCACACAGGCTGAGATAATTGTTTAAGTCTAAAATTGACCCATCCATTGACCTCTACACCTTATTCTCCCACTTCCCCCACCCCCACCTCCCCCTTTTATCAGGGGAGAAATTCTAGTTCAATCCAATATCATCACTTCAGCGCCTGATCCTCATGCTTGCTCTTTCTATTGCCCAGCGAGAGAATGGAACTCCTATTTATAAAATAATACACAACACAATACCCACTGTGGGATGGGGGGCGCGGAGAAGAGGGACTCAAGACATAGGAGGTCCAAAATTCCAGCTCATCTCCCCACCTTTGGAAGGACGTCTCAAAAGAGCTTCGCAGGATTCACCTCAAAGTGTAGTGACTGCGCCTTTTGCAGTCTTTAGTTCAAAAACCTTTTTACTAACACAGTATATAATATATATATATTTATATAAATAAAAGAACTAACCTCTAAATTAAGGCTGAGTTGATATTAGAATCTTTCCCCAATTCTGCACTGAATTATCAAAGAAGGCATCTCTTACAGGTTAAGACTAGCTGATGGCATTTTGGGTCTAGAGTGGTTTTAAAAAGAAAGGCAAGATAAAAGGAAAAAAGGCTACAATTGAGCAAGATTCCAGCAACTCAGTCAACAACAATACCTGCGGTAATAATACATTTCTGCACGAATCTGCTAATAAATTGTTAGGATTATACAACGTGATAAGCAAATCTTGCGTTCCTCTGTGGTATGTATCACAGTGGGTTTGTAATCCACTCTGTGGCAAACTGAACATTCACACCATCCTCGCAAACCCTCTTCCACGAGAGGTTGGTTCTGTGAGGACAAGAAGCAAAACAACTCTTTGCCGTTTGGGTTTATGCAATTGCTGCATAGGTGAATGAGACAGGAAAAGAGTGCTGCAGGAGAGGCGATTAGGATGAAGTGAGAACGCCAGCACGGACTGTTTGGGCCAAGTGGCAGTCTCGGTAGTCCAGTTCCTGAGCCAGGCGGGTCTGCAGTACTCCAGGGCACTGCTTTTGGTAGCACAGGCTCGTCGGCAGGATTTGGAAGGGCAGGCACTGGGCAGGGAATCCTCCCACTCAGCTCGGGTAGGATGGTCCTAACTGGTCAAGCAGCGGAAAAGCTTGCCAGACAGTGCTCTAAATGGCAAGCTGTGCGGTTTTAGCTGGTTCGACTTTAGATGGGCTGAAAAAAGAAGAGGTTAATCACCTCCCCCCCAAGACTGCACGCCTGCAGGGATGGGGGGGAACTCATAATATATGCTCAAAAAACAATCTCAATTTTGCTTCCTTTTGGGGTTAAGAAAAACAGTCCAGATCTTGGACCGGGGTGGAGAGGAGCAAAGGATAGAGACTTTAAAAAGACGGATACGGGCAACATTCAATGACCTCTCTCTTGTCTATTCCAACTGGTTTCTCAGGGCTTGTGGGAGCGGGGGGGGGGGGGGGGCTGGTGAGCTTAAATCAGGAGGTCGCAGCCTACCCTTAGCCAGACAAGCTAACGGGTGAGCTTCACAGAGAGACTGTAGTGTACAGATTACATCACTAACGTTTGACACATAACCAGAAAACAAAAGGTCAAGGGAGGGGGTAGGGGGGAGGTGGATGGGTGAAGGGAAGAGACGCTGTATCTTTTAAGGCATCATCCTATTCACAACCACTACTGACTGACCTCTCACAATGTGGTGTGATCTCAGGTTGAGTTTAGTTAGTGTCAATGATGTGTGTTACATCATCCATTACATTTCGTTAAACAGAATCCATCCTTTTACGCTTCAGAAACACTGGTCTATATATATTATATATATACACACACACAACACACACCATTGCATTGGGAGGGTGCATTTTGCCTTGCCTGGCTTAAGAGTGTTCCCAATGACCAATTTACTGGAGAGGTTGGCTGTAGGTATCGATATTGCCATCTGTAAGGCCGTTGTGATGTGGGCTGAGTGGGTGTGCGTGTGTCTCTCTCCCTCTGTGTGACTAGGGCTCCAGTCCATCTTTGCCCTCTATGTAGAAGCAGGGGTGTCCATCGTCGATAGAATGCGCACGATCTCTGCTCTCTGGGTCGGGGAGATGTGTTGGGTCATGTGTACGATAGAGTCCATGGCAACTTCAGGATTGGCTTGCACCAGGCTGCAACAACAACAACAACTTGCAATTATATAGCACCCTCCACCCAGGGTAGCGTCTCAGAACGCTTGCTCTGCGCACACACACAGTACCATCAAAACATTGCTTTGTGTCACCTCAATAACCCGACGACACAGACGCGCACACAGTCATCTCAACAACTACCCAAGAACACAGGTGGACAAACACACAGACAGACAAACACAGTCATCTCAACCATCCAATGATACAGTCGGTCATCTCAACAGCAACCCAATGATACAGGTAGATGTACAGGTTTTTTTTTAATGGTCAGCCGGGTGTCTGACAAACATTGAAACTCATCACCAAGCGGACACAGACAGGCCCACATCAATAGACCATTAGATCATTTCAATTCCAGAGAAACAAAGCAAAAGTCTTTTGACGTGGGACCAATTGAAAAAGCACTGTGCTTTTTTTTATCATCTATAATTACAAATCTAATCCTCACATCGCAAGTCCTATCATTTCTATAATGTAATTTCTATAATGTTGGTTGGTTTTAGGCTTTAGACTAACTTAGTTATGTGGCGAGACTAGAGAAGCTGGGATTGTTCTCCTTAGAACAGAGACTTTCTAGAGTCCTGTAAGGTATTGGTTCGAGCACTCTCATCGCAAGCGAGAGGACTTGGGTTCGATTCACGGGCGGGCCGAAACACTCGACAAGTTTCCTCGCTCCGCACGGCTCTGTTTACCCAGCAGTAAGTAGGAACCCGGTTGTTAAGTCGATTGGCGGGTCACTTTTCCGGGGGTAATAAACCCTTCAAGAAAATAAAATTTAAAAAATAAATGATAATTTGGTCCCTCAATCCACGAGTGTTTATGGGACACTGCTTTCGCTCACAAAATCCACAGTCAAATCACTTTACAGTACATTCTGTGAAGCGTTTTGAGACGTCTTGAAGACGTGATAAGGCGCTGTATCAAACGCAAGTATTATTTTTATTATAATAATTAAAAAGCTACAATGCTCTACAGATGTAATCTTGTATTGTATAATCCCCACATCACCAGCCCACAGAAGGCACAACTAACACCCAATAAACAGGACAGCACTGGGGACGTGTGGCCTGTGGAGAGGGAGTCAAGTTCACTGCACAGAGGATTTGGTGCTAATGACAATGACTAAACAGAGGCTCTCACCTGCGGATCTGCTTGAGGATGTAGTCTCGGGAGATGTACTTGATGTTCTCGTCGATGACCGAGCGAGCTCCCTCCTCCTCCTGTAGCTGTTTCTCCAGCCACTGCACCACATCCTTGTTGTTGTCCCACAGATAGGCCTGAGGGTGAAGACCACAGACAGCGTTAGCACCCACTCCCCAACGCCCACCGCAAACCCCGGCCAACAGGAGAGTCTCGGCAGCTCAGGGTAGAAACCACGTGGTCAGCTAGCTACACAATCTGGGCTAATGTGGAGTCTCGTAGCTTAGTGGTTAGAGCACTTGCCTCGCAAGTGAGAGGACCGGGTTCGATTCCCGGGCAGGACGAAACTTCACTCAAGTTCCCTTACTCCACACGCACGCCTCTGTTTGCCTAGCAATAAGTAGGAACCCGGATGTCAGTCGACTGACTGGCAGATCACTTTCCGGGGGTAATAATCCCTCCAAAGATAGAAATGCGGTCACTCAATCCACGACTGTTTGTGGGACGACACTCCTTTGCGCAATTGCCTGCCACGTTTCGTCCACAAAATCCACTTTACAATATATTCTGTGAAGCGCTTTGATACATCTCAACCACGTGACGAGGTGCAATGCAAAGATTATTTACTATGATATAAATCAGCCCCACTGCTCACATCCGGTGGCTCAGAGATGGTGCCCTACGACGCTATATAAATAAAGGTTGCTGGTTGTCCAAAGCTATGGGCTGCTACCAGACAGCTTCAGGTCTCAATCGGTAGCGCTCTCGCCTCTGAGTCGGAAGTTGACTCAGATGCGCATGTCAAACCTGGCTCCCTGCCTGTGTCTGTTCGGGTGGACATTAAGGATCCCGTGGCGCTATTGGAAAAGAGAAGGGACTTTCTTTCCCCTGCTATCCTGGCTGACAGTAGCCTCCAAATAAAATTGTTTGCAGGACGTCGCTGGGCGCAAACTGGCTGCCGAGTTCGCTCACAAACAAACAGTCGCTGCACTTTACAGTAAAAATTATGAAGCTCTTTGAGACATCCTCTCGACATGAAAGGCGCTGTACCAAATCCATATTATTATTATTATTATTATTAAATGTTAGCTTCCCTCTAAAAGGAAGCTCTTTCCTTGGCATTTGGCTGCAAGATTGAAACAGTTCCAGACGCATTTTTTGACAGCTCCTTAATACTAAAATGCATATTCATGGCAGAGCCCCCTTCCTTATGAAGTGCTGACACAGTGAGCGCTGGCGTGTGTGAGGTAGAAGATTCAAAGAATGGATCTGACGTTTCAGTTTAAGCTCGCTCGCAGAGCAGCCAGATCTGACCAGAAACGCCAGTGTTTGTGGGTTTAGGAGAATATTTAATACCATTAATATTTTTTAATCCCTTTTGGTTTTAATTAAGTAGGAGCACGCTGGCTCCTATCAACACATTCCAGGGTGCAGATTAATTGTGGCTTAATATAATCAGGGTTGATTGTTGTAATGCATTAGTTAGAGAAACGCCTGAGTGTGAAGCTGATTGTACCTGGGGAGGTTGGCTGTACTCCAGTGCGCTTCCTGCTTTGTGTGGCTGATGGATGTTTGAAGTGATGTTGTGGCCAAGGTTGGCACAAAGGCAGTGATGTGTGTGTATGTATGTGGTGTGTGTGTGTGTGTGTGTGTGTGGCAGAGAGCGCGTTAAAACAAAAATCCATTGCTTACTTATGTGTGTGCAAGCATTTGTGTGTATACACGTGGGCATCTCCACTCTTCCCCGTCTTTTTTGTTCTGGCTAAACTTTGCTGCTTAAATATCCAGATGCACGCGCACACACACACACACTTAACACAGAAACTCCGTGAGTAGTGGCATTTCCAAAAGGAGACAGACAGACAGCACTTGAGGATTTCACTGGGCTCTCTGATAGGAACTCGTTTGATCTTTTTCCTTCTAACATTAATTGCAAAATAACGCAATTTTTTTTATATAAAAAAAGAAATGGGGAGGCCATTCTCATTGTGTGGGGAACAGGTTTCGCAGGTTCTCCAGCCTCTCCGTCCGCCCTCGGGCCTTGCAGAAGGGCAAAACGATCAAAATCCCAGGAGGTGACGATGAATAACGGATTCGTTCGTTGTTCCCTTGCGATTTACGGGGCCGTTCGGCTGCGGCTGAAAGGCTCGCAGACACCCGAAGACCTCCCTCCCTCTTCGACCGGGTGCCTACGCTCAACCCCAACCCCCCCCCCTCTCCCCCACTTCCCTCTTGTTCAGGGGTCCTCCAACTGAGACACTATCCTGCGTGACGGACACTGTGTAAACGCCAGATGTTGTTGCCGAACATCGCTACACCCTATTCCTATCCAGCAGGAAAACACGAGGGGTTGGGGAGAGAGTTGGGGGGAGTCTTAAGGGACACCCACCTTGACGGCCCCCTCAGCCTCCACGAACCAGCGACGAAGCATGGCCTGGATCTGCCCATCTGTCAGCTCTCCGTTGGCCTGAACAATCTTCGTCTTCACAACGTCCTCCAGCAGCAGCCGCCTCAAACGCCAGTAAAAGAAGGTGCGGGAGGTCGGCCATTCCAGGACATCCTGAGAGAGAGAGAGAGAGAGAGAGAGGGGGGGTGGGGGTGGAGGAGGGGGAGGCGGAGGGAGAAAGACAGAGACAGGGGTAGACAGAGAGAGAGAGAGAGTGAGGGGGCGGGGGAGTGACGGAGGGAGAGAGACAGAGAGAGGGGGAGACGGAGGGAGAGAGAGAAAGGGAGAGAGAGCGTTAAACAAAAGTATCTCTTACGCAGACATACAACATAAGAACGTACAGGAACGTAAGAATTTGCTGGAAGAAAGAAGACCAATGTCCATCCAGTTCGCCTTCCACCATCCTGGCAGTCGCTTGCACATGTCGTGTCCCAAACGACTGTATCCCGAGATATAATTTTCCCCAGAAGAAATCTATCTAATTTGCTTTTGAAAGAATCGACACTTTCTGTTTCTACCGCCTGTTCCATACATTTACTACTCGGACCTTGTTGTAATCTCCTTCCCCCACCATCCCCCCGCCAACGCACAAAATACACAGTCACTCCACTTTACAGTATACCCTGTGAAGCCCTTCGAGACGTCTCAATGACGTGATAAGGCGCTATATCAAATGCAAGGATTATTGTTAATATAATAATGGGCAGATGGGAAAACAAGAGGTGCCAAAACAGCAAGAGAATTCGAAGCAAAATCATTGACTTTTTTTTGTTACAAAAGAGAGGTGGTGGGGGAGAGAGAAAGAGAAAAGGGTGTGAGAGAGAGTGTTTCAGAGAGAGAAGAGAGAGAGAGTGAGGGGGGAGGAGGGAAGAGACGGAGAGATTGAGAGAGAATCACATCAAGAGATTGCGGCCAGTGTAATCTGAATGTAATTCTGATCCAAGCGGAACATCGCAATGTGGAGCTCTCGGCTCAGACGCTTAGCGAGGGCCGATTCCTTCATTCAGGCACAGCCTTCGGTGCGTAATCCTGAGCCCTGCATTCGGGGCTTCAGTGTTCAGTGCTTGTAATCCATTGCTTACTGTCACCGGCCAGCTCACAGCCACACCACTGAGGTCTAATCTCCTGCACGATAATAAACTGTCTGATCACTTGCTCGACCCCCCCCCCACCCCACTCCCCACCCTCCCAATCCTCCCACTCAACTGTCTTTCTCCAATAACGTTGAATATCTATATATAGATACACACACAATAATAATAATCCTTGCATTTGATAGAACGCCTTGTCACGTCGTTGAGACGTCTCAAGGCGCTTCACAGGAATATGCTGTAAAGACAGAGACAGAGGAGACGGAGATAGAGGTAGACAGAGACAGACGTAGACAGAGACAGGTGTAGACAAGAGACAGATGCAGACAGAGACAGAAACAGATGAACAGACAGACGGACAGACCGAGAGAAACAGACAGATAAAACGCCGAGGTGTCTGTCTGTCAAGCCCTGAAGGTGGGCTGCGCTGGGTTGGGTCGGGCTGACTCACCGTGATGACCCCCTTCTCCTGCATGCGGCCAGGCGTGTCGTGAAGATCAGCGAACTGCACCGCCACCTGATGGTAAATCGGCAGCAGGAACTCCTCCCTCTCCTTCAGCTTAGCCTCCAGATCTTTACGCTCTGCAGCGCTCAGCTCCGGGGTGCCTGCGGTGGGGGGGAACACAGCCTGATGTTAGCTATTGAAATGGTAGTGGAAGCAGATACAACAACAACAATAATAATAATAAGCCTTGCATTTGATACAGCTCCCCTTCCATCTCTTCGAGACGCCTCAAAGCGCTTCACAGAATATACTGTCAAGCGGATCGACTGGATATTTTGTGGGCCAAATGCGGGGGCCAATTGCGCACGGCAATTGTGCCCGCAAACAGCTGTGGGTTGAGCGACCAGATTATTATTTAAGATAATAATAAATAATAATAATAATCCTTGCGTTTGATACAGCGCCTTCTCATGTCTTCGAGACGTCTCAAAGCCCTTCACAGGATACACTGTAAAGTGAATTGACTGTGACTAGGAATCCTATGCCTTTGATTCTTTAACGTTCACCAGAACCGGCGCAGATTGGGAGGAGGGTGGGGTGGTGGTGGTGGTGGGGCGGGGCGGAGGTGTTGGGGGGTAGAACCCGTGTTTGACATCTCATCCGAAGCACGGCATCTCTGTCAATGCAGAACACCCTCCAGCACTGTACTGGAGAGTCAGCCTGGAAGCAGATCAGACTCTCGCTCTGTAGCACAGTAAAGCATTGTGAAAAGGCAAGTCTGAGATCCAGGTGCTTGACTATTCAATAGGAACTCTCAACGTACAAGAGGCAAGTTGGTCTGAACAAGCTTTGACCACCCCTCCCCTCCACACCCCCACCAAAGACATTTCTCTTATCGAAGAAAGCAACCCAACCATCCAGATTAATGGCTCAAGTAATGTTAACAAATATGTCAATGACTATTTTCTGCTCAATTTAAAGCCAGGCTCCTTTTAAAGATTTTTTCACCCCCCCCTCCCCCCACCCCAACCACACTCTTTGTCGCTGCTTTTCCCCAGCCTCGTTCTCTCAGAAAAATAACCAGCGCTGAAGGAGAAAGCAGCCAGCGATTACCGTGGTTCGTGATTGATCCCCTTCGAGGCTATTAGCTGCTCACAATCACCATTGTTAAAAAAGAACACCCGACCTCGTGATCAATGGCAGGAACAGGTTTGCAATGGAAATCTCGAAAGGTTTCACATCTTTCCTGTTTCATGTGTGCCGAGCAATACTGGAGGTGAGTGCTCTTTAGGCCACTGGGATTGTCTGCCAACTGTGACGGTTAACCCCTTGGCTGCCGCCGACTCTTTTTCATTTGGAGACGGGCAGCGTAGTCGTTTGGGCGTTCGCCTCGCAAGCGAGAGCACCCGGGTTCGATTCCCAGGCCAGGCGAAACCTGAGGCAAGTTTCCTTAATCCACGCAAGCCGCTGTTTACCGAGCAGTAAGTAGGAAACCCTGGTTGTTAGTCGACTGGCGGATCGTTTTTCCGGGGGTAATAATCCAGAGACGCGAGAAGGCGCTGTATCAAATGCAAGGATTATTATTTAAGCAGATTTCTCTTCATGTGAAGAATTGGTTCCCCTCTTGCTGAACCAAGAGTGATAGGGGCTGGTCCCACTGCCCACTCTGTTTTGCCTCTGAAAACTTCTGCCTCAATTTAATAATAATCCTTGCATTTGATATAGCGCTTTTCACGTGGGGAGGACGTCCCAAAGCGCTTCACAGAACACACTGTAAGGTGCATTGACTGTATATTTGTGGGCGAACGCGGCAGCCAATTGCACACAGCAATGTCCCCACAAACAGTCGTAGATTGAAAATGACCAATTTATTATTGGTTTTGGTTTTGGAGGGATTATTATTATTAGGCTCTGTGTGGAGTAAGGAAACTTGCCCGAGGTTTCGCCCTCTGCCTGGAATTGAACTCAGGTCTCTCACTTGCAAAGCGAGTGCTCTAACCACTGAGCTACAGAACTCCACTCTGCTAGTGCCTTTCATGTTGGGAGGACGACCCAAGACGCTGGACAGTCAGGGATTTGGACCCGAGCTGGGGGTCGGGAGCAAGAAGGGTGGAGGGTAGGGGTAAGGGGGTGGGTGACCGAAAGTGTGGTCGAAGAGGAAGATCTTCTGTTACTGCGGAGGGAACGTAAGAGGGAGAGGGAATAAAGTAAAGAAGTTCTTCTTTGGCAAGAGCAAATTCACTCTTAGAAACTTTCCTCATTGCCCCCCCGCCCACACACACACACTCTTCCCGAGCCTCGGCGTGTCTGCCTTTCACACCACTTAGCAGCGAGAGAGATTGATCCCTGTCACAACCGATCTTGTCAAAGCCGGTCTCCCAATTGTCGCTTGCAGCAGTCAAAGGCCTGTTATCATCAGTTCAGTAAAAGATCAATTCAGTTCAGAATGAGAACATAATCAGACATCGATTTGAGCCCAGCTTCTTTCGGAGGCTGCTAAATTTCCCTCATGAACTCTATCCGAAGGGTTACAGGTTAAAGTGATGAGTCTCATCAGCTGTTCGGTTTTCTTTCGTTTTTTTTAAAAAAAACAGAGTCCTTGTACTTTTTTTTAAAAAGAAACACACATCGCACATATTTGGTGAGCACAGACTCATGGTAAAATAATCCCATTAATTGTGCAGCCGCGCCCGAACGAGATGCGAACTATCTGACTGTGCGGTTCCTCATTATTGCTTAATGATATCCCAACACCCACCCTCCCCTCCCCCACCCCATCGCCACCATCATCGAGCAAGCCTACAGCAGCGACATTAACCCCTGAATCTTCCAGCGAAACAAAGGGTTAAACAAAGGCCTGACAGCGGTGCGAGACTGATGCGAAACACTGAGCCTTTGTCCTGAGAAATTACAATAGTATAATATAATAATCCTTGCATTTGATACATCACGTCGTTGAGACGTCTCCGAGCTCTTCGCAGAATATACTGTGATGTGAAACGGCCGTGTATTTTAGGGGCGAAACATGGCAGCCAATTGCGCACAGCGGCGTCCCACAAAGTGTCGTGGATTGAGTGACCACATTTTTTGGTTTGAGGAATTATTACCCCTGGAAAGCGACCCGCCAATCGATTAACAACCGGGTTCTTACTTAACTGTCAGGTAAAGAGAGACGTGCGCGCGCGTGGAGTAAGGAAACCTGCCTAAGGTTTCGCCCTGCCCGGCCGGGAATCGAACCCAGGTCCTCTCGCTTGCCAGACTAGAGTGCTAACCACTACACTACAGCGCTCCACAGTGACCATGGACTTTGTCTCCATCGTGGCTGAATGGTCAACCAGGGACCAGTTCTATCCGGGCTGGAGGGGACTGAACGGCTTAAGAGCCGAATGTTCCCTTGCCCCCCTTCTCCCCCATTCCAGAGCAGCGTGTTCTTGTACTGAAGTCATTAGGAGCCGGACTGGACTGAACTTGTCCCTTAAGGATCCAAACGATATTGAAATCACTTCCAAAGAATGTGGTGAAAGCCAGAGATTCAGTGCCCCCTGACCAGCACATTGCAACGCTCCATTTTAATTAACCATCTCCATTAAAGTTGTTGGCATCAAACGGGACAAAAGTCTGGCTGAAAGCCCCAGGAGCAGAGCTGACTGAACAAGAATGGGAGGGGGTTGGGGGGGGGGGAGGAGCGAGGAGGCTTGATGCAGGGTGGGGGCAGCGGTGGTGGGAGAAAAGGAGTGCGAGTCCTGTGGAGTACGCGGAGTTGCTTAGCGTAGCGGTTAGCGCGCTCGCCTCGAAAGCAAGCGGACCCGGGTTCGATTCCCGGACGGGGCAAAACCTTCGACAAGTTTCCCTTACAGTTAATCGATTGGCGGATCGCTTTCCGGGCGGTAATAATCTCCCCGCCGCCCCTCGCCCCCTTCCCCCCCCCACTCCAAACCACTGCCACCACAAAAAACAACATTGCGGTCACTCACTCCACGATTGTTCGTGGGACGCTGACGGGCGCAATTGGCTGCTGCGTTTCGCCCGCAACATATACAGTCAATTCACTTTACAGCGTATTCTGCGAAGCGCTTTGAGACATCTCAACGACGTGATGAGGCGCTGTATCCATCGCAAGGATTATTATTATTAATAAGATCAAAACATCAAAGGCCAGTGATGCAGTAAATTGGGTTTGCGTGAGGGGGGGGGGGGGTGGGGGGGCGGGGAGGTTTTGCGTGAAGAGCGGAGGGAGGGGGAATTGAAATGAGGTAAGAGCCATGGTACGTACCCAGGCGCTCGGCGAGACGTGTGTACACAGGATCCACTCGCCGCATGGTTTTCACCAGGTCCTTCTTCCTGAACTTGATCTCCACCGTGCCTTCGGGCTCCAGAACCCCACCTCTGTGAACACCCGATAACCATACTCTCGGTCAACCACAGGTGGGGGGTAGCGTCACAGAGAGAGAGAGAGAGCATGGGGGAAATGGAGAGAGAGAGAGAGAGGATGGGAAGGTAGATGGAGACGGAAGGGGAGCAGAGGTGGGGGGAAATGGTGGGGAGAGAGAGAGAAAGTGAGGGGGAGTAGATCGATGTGGGGGGAGGTGGAGAGAGAGAGAGAGAGAAAGGGGGTAGATGGAGGGGAGGGGTATGTATGTACCTGCTCTCCTTGTCGGCGTACATCTCCATATGCCTGGGGTTGATGGTCGGGTCGATCACGACCCAGGAACCCCCCCTGAGCTCGGCGTGGGGGGGGATATAGACCAGCATGGGTTGCCTGTACTCCCGCAGCCCGTCCACAATATACGCTCCGAACTTCAGCACCTGATCGTACATATCTGGGGCGGGGGGGAGAAGTGAGAATAAAAATACAATACAAAATAATATTTATATAGCGCCTTTCACGTCGGGAGGACATCCCGATGATCCCATTCAATCAACTCTGAGCAGTGTAGGAGTGTGTGTGTAGGCGCGTGTGTGTGCGCAGGCGTGTGTGTGTGTGTGTGTGTGTGTACAGGTATTTGCGTGTAGGTGTATGTGCGTCTGTGGGCAGGTGTTTTATGCGTACATGTTTATGTATGCGTGCTTGCGTGGGTGTGTGCGCGTGTGCAGTTTGCATCGTATGTGAGTTTACGTGTATGTGCGTGCGTGTTTACGGGCGTGCCCCCTCGTGTGGGTTTAAAACCTTTTTTTTGTTCGTTTCCTTTTACCTTTCATCCCACCGGAGAAGCCTCGCCAGTTGGCAAACACCATGAGGGGGAGACCCTCCCGGTTCAGATCCTTTATGGCTTGCGACGTCTTGAAAGCCGAGTCGGGGAACCACACCTGCCCGGCCTGCTGGATTATCTGCCGCACAGCCAGAGAAAACACCCTCTTAGAACAGCAACAACACCACCAACAACAACTCACATTTATAAAGCTCCCACCACGCAGGATAGCTTCCCGGAGCGCTGCACGGTGGAAAGAGATTGACACTGAGAAACGGGGGGGGGGGGGGGGCGCGGAGTTAACCAGAAGCAGTGATCAGGATTTAAAAGTAAATTAAAGGGAGGGGTGGGGGGGGACTGACAGAGGGACTGAGGCACAGGGAGTTCGAGATTAGGGGGCAAAACAAACCCCACCTTGGCTTCCGAGTCCAGGTTTGCAGGGTCTGCTGGGATGGACAACTCCACCGTCCTGGTCTCCACGGCAACCACTCCAACCGGAATCCCTCCCAATCTGGGTTCGGAGGAGGGTGGGGGGGGGGTGGGTGGAGGGGGAGAGGAGTTGAAACAAAACATCAGTCAAATCTCACTGAACGAGGCCCATTGAGGCGTCACACACGGAGAGCTCCCAACAAGTGGTTGAGCAGTTTGGGCAATATGGCCACCAATACACACACACACAACAACAACAACTTGTATTTATGTGGATGGAGCCCTTCACGTGGGGCAGTGTCTCAGAGCTTTGTAATTTTTTAAAACTTTTTTTTAATATATAAAGTAACCTTATCATAACAACCCTTGTGGTTGACAATAGCAACGTTCACATCGGGAGCACAACTCAAAGCCCTTCAGGATTTTACCGTGAAGTGTAGTAACTGTGCCTTTCTATGAGCGAAAGCGGCGGCCAATTTGCACCCAGCAACGTCTCACAAGCGGCCATGAAGAGAGCGACCGATTTTATCTGGGGGAGGATTGTCAGCCAGGACGTTGGGTGAAAGCTACTCCCTTTTCTTTTGGGAATGTTCCAGATATCATTGGGGCATCAACATGAACAGGCACAGACGGGACTTCAGTTTTAACGTCTCATCCCTCACACCCCTTCCAGCCCCCCGCCCCCCCCACCACACATACACACAACCAACATACACCCCCATAGATACACATACGCACACACACACACACGCACACACACACACGCGCGAAAAGCCAGTCATCACAAGCGCTAATTTCCTACATCTCCAACAAGCTCCCTCTAGCAGTCACATCTCCTTAACACTCACTCCCCCGCCCCCACCACACCGACAATGCTGTTGAATCTCACACTGAGGTAAAGAGTAGGCGCTTTGGGCAAATTTGTCCAAATTTGTGTTTACAGAAAGCATTTAAGACTGGCCTTTCTTCTCTCTCTCTCCCCCCCCCCCTCACCTCCTTTCTCCTCTTCTCCAACACCCACCTCTGCCCCCCCCCCCCAAAGAAAGATAATAACCTGTGAGTGGTTCAAGCTGAGCTGCTTTTTGTCTCCGGTACTACATGTTTGCCGTCTGCCTCATTTACACTTACATGCACTTTAGCGTTGTGTGTCGTTGAAAGCAACTGGATAATTGCGATCATTTCATCGGGACGAACAAAGGCACAGCCATTTATCTGTCGCTGGGAGAGTGTGTCAGCCCGAGAAATGATTTGGGGGAAGAGGGGGAGTGGGGGGGGGGGGGGAGGGAGTAAGAGTAGTAATGAAGCTGTGTAAGACAGCGAACTGCACACCTTTATTTTTAATGTTCTGCTAAACTGGCGATTGGCTTGCTTGACCACGAACCCCCATCACCACCCCACCACCCCCCCGTCCCCCCCAAACACACACACACACACACACACAAACACAACACTCACCCCCTCCAAGGTGGGAGGGGGTGGGGAGGGAGTATTGATGTCCACACCACAGTCGGTCAAAGAGATGAACGGCAAGCTCAATCTCCCTGGCGGGGGCTTTTCAATCCATAAATAACCCCCCCACCACTCACTCCCTCTACCCCAATACCGACTCTGCACCCATTAGGGGGAGTTTCTGTTAACACTTCAAGACTATTTCTTCATGGTCCAGCGAGTGGGAAATCAGGACGGATTGTTGGCTGTGGGAGAGAAACGAGAAATGAAAAGGAAATGGCAGAATCCCGCAGACCCTGGACATCTGAAATAAGAACAGAAGTGGCTGGGAACACTCAGCGGGTCAGGCAGCATCTATGGAGAGAGAGGAAAGTGAGTTTCGGGTGGATGACCTTTCATCAGTCATCGCCCCGAAGAGTTTACTCGTTTTCCTCTCTCCATAGATGCTGCCTGACCCGCTGAGTGATCCCTGTTTTTATATTATTGCTAATAAAAAGGGGAAATAGTGAGGGTTACCTTGCTCTTCCCACCACCACAGTCTGTGCCCACGGCTGCATGATCTCCATGAAGGAACCGTAGTCAAAGAAGCCATTCTGCCATTGTCCTTTTTGCGCTGGGGGGGGGGCGAAGAGAGGAACCGTTAAAAATCAATGCGCTGTTTGTCTTGAATCGTTCTTTTTTTGGATCAGCCGGACGTCTGACAGACACACAGACACACACACCACACCCACAGGGGTAAAGGCGAGTAATTGGAGTTGAGGTACAGATCAGCCATGATCTAATGGAATGGCGGAACAGGCTCAAGGGGCTGAATGGCCTACTCCTAATCCTGCGTTCCTCAGCACAGGACTGGAAAAGGGGCAAGGCAGGGGGGGGGGGGGGGGGGGAGGGAGGGAGGGAGGGAAGGAGTAAAGGAAAAATATCTCAAAGCCAAGCACACACAAATAAAAACAATTGGAAACCAAAAGGTTTAGATAAAGCGACCGAGTTAGCTTAATCACTGTGGCGGCATTTTAATCAACAGCCCCAGCTGTAATTACCATATGGTTACTCTCCATTCCAATTGATGTGACATTGAGCGTCTGGTATAATGTGACCATCAATCGCGCAGTTATCTGTGAGTCAGGTGTCGCTGACTTGCCTTTTACATTCCAAACCCGTGTTTGTTGTCAACGTGAAGAATATCGGCGCGCCATCTGCTGTAATAAATTACTTTCACTTTTAACCTGGCCCAGATCCGAAGTAGCTGATCGCTCGGAATCGCGCTTGCTCTTGAACCTCTCGCTAAATTAGGAGTTGGGGCGGGTGGGGTGGGGGGGAGAATTCATCGAGAAGAGTGCTGGTGCAGGCAAATAAATCTGTGACGGGCACAATTACTTCACTGCGGGGGGAGTGGGTTAATGATTGCCGAAAGCTAGCGTCTGCGGCAAGGAATCCCGAGCCCGTTCTTTATCCTGATCCCCTCCTTCCAACTGGCGGCCCGCGGGCCACATCTGGCCTCCTCCCCCTCCCCGCCACCCCTCACTCCTTCCATTGCATCTGGCCCACCCGCTCCCTCCGTAACCCGTAAACGTTTCTGCTTTCAAAAGCCCTTCAACCGGCTCACTGCTCACCCCCCCACCTCCTGCCCGCCCGCCCGCCCCGCCACCAGTGTTCCTGTTATGTCTCTGTAAAGTGCTTTGAGATGCACATCTGCGCGATGTTGTCCTACGTGAAAGGTGTTGCCTAAATGCACTTTGCTCTTGTTGTAGTGACAATCTTTGCATTTGATGTAGCGCCTTATCACCTCGTTGAGAACGTCTCAAAGCTCTTCACACAGGATATGGTAGTGGATCGACTGTATATTTTATGGGCGAAACGCAGCAGACATTTGCACGCGGCAGTCAGAGTCCCACAGTCGTGGATTGAGTGACCTATATTTTTTTTTGAGGGATCTTTACCCCCAGAAAGCGATCCGCCAATCGACTAACAACCAGATTCCTTCTTACCGCTAGTCAAACAGAGACGTGTGGAGTAAGGAAACTGGCCTAAAGTATCACCCCGCCCGGAAATCGAACCCGGGTCCTCTCGCTTGCGAGGCGAGCCCACTAACCACTCCACAATTCCCTTTACTTACTTGGATGAGGACGCCCAGCGAGCATCCACCGTGGGTCATAGGGAGCTTTGGTTGGGACAAACTCGACCGTCCGGTCGATGGAATCCTTAGGGTTCAGGATGGGCACCAGACTGGCTGTGTCCTGTGTTTATAAAAGAATCTAATCAACCCACAGACACAGACGCTCACAAAAGGAACCAAACTCGCTTCTAAATTGCTCTAAGAAAAAATATATATATATATTGATCCCTTGATGGAACTCAGCCCGTGAAAAGTGTCGACTCAAACCTAACGATCGATGGCTGTGGCGTGGTTGCTGAATGCATCACGGAGCCTTGAAAACCCCCGAACAATGAGCATCTTGTCAGAAGAAAAGAGAGAGAAAGAGAGGGGGGGAGTAAGAGAGAGAGAGAGAGAAAGTCCCTTCAAAGGATGATGAGGGTTTATCTGCGGGAGAGCGGAAAAATCTTTTGATTGAAATCCTTGGCTTTTTGAGTGCAATCGCTCACCAATTTGGGAGGGAATTATTTCGAAATAAAGAGAGGTGGTGGTGTGGTGGTGGGGGGCGGGGAAGAGAGACCAAATGGGCTGAAAAGGGGCCGCCTTCATCCGAAACCCCTTCTGGAAATTCTCCTCTGAGTACAACTTCGAGCACAAACCTTTGGCATGTAGGACAGCCACTGGAGGATGATCACAACTCCCTCAAAGTCATCAAAGACGGTTGCGTGGGTCACTCCATTGTTGTGCATTATCTGGATTCCCCCCAGTTGGTTGTTGGACGTGTAGACCTCTCTGCCAAGCACCTTTTGCGACGGAAAGAAAAGGAAAATCAACACGTTAAAGATGTCTCCAAATAAAGCCCTGTTGCTTTTTGTTGGCACTAAGGAGCCTTGGATATTAATAATAAAGCTGGAGTTTCGGAGTGTAGTGGTTAGCCCGTTCGCCTCACAAGCGAGAGGACCCGGGTTCAATTCCCAGGTTGGGGGACGAAACCTTAGGCAAGTTTCCTTTACTCCACACGCCTATGTTTTCCTAGCAGTAAGTAGGAACTCGGGTTGTTAAGTCGACTGGCGGATCGTTTTTCTGGGGTAATAATCCCTCACCTCCCCCCCAAAAATGTGGTCACCCAATTCGCGACCGTTTGTGGGAAACTGCCGTGCGCAATTGACTGCCACGTTTCGTCCGCAAACAAAACAAAAACAGTCACTCCACTTTGCAATATTTTCTCTGAAGAGCTTCGAGACGTCTCGACGACGTACAGAGCGGGAGGAGGACCAGCCTTCGAGTCCGGTTGTTAAGTACCAATTATTAAGAGGGCTGTTTCAAGGTCTGTCCCTCGCACACTGGGCACGCAGGAGTGCCAGAGGGTAATTGACATGCTGGGGATTTCTGCTGAATTTTCTGAATGAGAAGCCCATTGAATTTTAATGACTGTGAACTGTCATTTCCCGAAGACACATTAATCCCAGGCGAGGGAGAGACTGCTGTGTGTGAGAGAGCGAAGGTGGCCATTGCGATAAATTAATCAAGATGGTTCGGGTGGGAGAGGGGAAACGGGTGGGTGGGGGAGGGATGCGGGGGTGGGAGAGGGAGGATTAAAGAGGGTGGGAAAGGAGTGTTGGATAGAGAAGGATGTGGAGGGGGAAATCCAGATTTCCAAAATGAAATCTAAGCAAAGTGGGTGGGAGGGTACTGCCCGCCAGGACACCATGGGACAAACTCCCTTCCTCCTTTCCACGGGAAACTTTGAAGGTCCACCCAAATGGACGCAGAAGTCGCAACGCAGTAAAACCCGCCTAAGTCCGACGTGCGGAAATCGTACAATCACTTAAGCCGTGCAGCTGCCCAAGTTGCGCTGAATTTCCTATTACGGTATAAGTTTGACGCAACCCATACTTTGCACAAGTGGCATTAAACGTAAGGTCCAACTGATCTGACTCGTGTTAGTGTATTAAAGAAACACGTTTCCACCAGATTATTTTCTCGAAGGCTGGTGCATCGAACCGTCAGGGGGCACCGGTCGAGGAAATACAATGGGACACGCACACAGACGCCTTTCCCCCCACCCACCCCCCACCCGCTTTCCCCTACATCCCCTCCCTGCTCTCCTCACTGCTTTCTGCGAGACAGTGAGCAAGTGCTGGGCTCCATTAATGCAAACCGCACGAGTCAAAAAGTAGAGGGGATGTGAACCAAGTACAGCGTAACCTTGAGGGGGGGGGAAGAATAAAATCTGCAGCCACACAGTGACGGACGCTTCAATCTTCTGTCAGGGGATAAAATTCTTCACGATATTCATTGTATTTTTTAAATATGTTTTTAAAAAAAAATAAGATTTTACGTTTCGAAACGGCATTTACTCAATTAAGGGCTTTATTTTAAAATGAAGAAAATTGAAAAAAATTAAATAAAAAGAAGCAAAGAGATATTATCCCGACAATAATAATACAAAGTTCTTTAAGCTGATTCTTGCCGACTTGCAAGAGTCCGGTAGCGCAGTGGTCAGAGCAATTGCCTCGCAAAACCCGGGTTAGATTCCTGGTCGGGACGAAACCTTAGGCAAGTTTCCTTACCCTCACGCGCCTCTGTGTACCTAGCAGTCGTGTCTGTGCCCATTCAGGTGACGCTATCTGAAAAGAGAAGGGAGCTTCTCCTGGTGTCCTGGCCGACAATCCCCCAGATAAAACTGGTCACTCATTTCATGGCTCAGACTGTGGGACGTCACTGTGCCTACAACTACAGTCACTCCACTTCACTCCACGGTAAAATCCTTTCAAGCGCTGTGCGCAATTGGCTGCCAGAAAATACACAACATATCCTGTGAAGCGCTTTGAGACGTCTCAACGACGTGATATCAATCGCATGTATTATTATTACCGGCCAGGTGCAATTGAAAGAACCTGAACAAGTCTGTGCCTTCGATGATTGCCTTCGCCCCACCTGCACCACCCCCACCTTCCCCCCCAGTTCCAGATTACCCTCTGCGTTCCGTCAATGACCCCAGAGCTGATTTAATAGAAATGAGGTTGCCTGAAGGTTATGTCCCGCATCCGAGTGTTGCAACAGTGAGTAAGTGCTGCCCTCGGAAAGCTTCCAAGACAGCCAGAGAACATCCCCGTCCATTACTGGCTGCTTGTTTAATAGCAGCGGGCTGCGATTTGCCCTCCGCCCGCCCTCCTGCAACTGAACGCAAAACAGTCCCGACTTCAGTACAATAATGAGATCGGAAATCGTGCCTTCGAGACAGACCGGGGGCCTCGGAAACTCACGCTGCCGCGTTTTGGACGCGCTGGGCTATTTATTTATTTATTTATTTATTTACTTATTTACTTGCTTACTTATTTATTTTAATCAAACAAAGCAAAAGGAAAGTTGCAAATCTCCTAGACAGAACGCAAATATTAGCCAAGCTCCAGGGAAAGGAGAAAATAAAAATGATTTACTGGATGTGAACCCAGATCTCGTCTGTGCTCAGATGGACGCTAAATATACACCCTAATCTCAAAAAGAGATGGGAGTTTCCTCTCCCTTCCCCGCTCCCCCGCCACCCCTCACACGCACTGTGTCTGGGATGATAATTCTGCAGATAAAACTCTGGTTATTCGCTTCATGGCTGTTTGCGGGACGTTGCCGTGTGCAAATTAGCCGCTGGCGTTTACCTACATCCATCCCTTTTCCACCTCCTTCCCCCACTCCCGCTCCCCCCCCCCCAACTCGTGCCCTCCACCGATACATCTCTCTTTATTCCTGGCAAACTGAAGTGTTCACATTATTGTATTCATCTGCCACAATAGACACTGTATCGCCCAAATTGACAGTAGTTCCACGTGAATTTACTCACAGAGAAGGAAAGCGACAGACAGAATGAGAAAGAGAGAGAGAGAGAGAGCAAGAGAGAGAGACAGAATGTGAGTGAGCGAGAGTGCAAAAGACAGTGAGAAAGAGCAAGATAGTGTGAGACAGAACGTGCGTGAGAGAAAGAGACAGAATGCGAAACAGAGCGAGTGCGGAGAGAGAAAGGGAACGTGAGAAAGAGAGTGAGAGAATGTGTGTGTGTGTGTGTATGTGAGAGAGAGGGGAAGAAAAAAGCACCGCATCAGCAAAAGTTTTCATTAAAATTTTAGACAAATGATCTCCTTGTCCTTCTCCCCCACAGCCTGAGGCTCCACGCTATTTCTATGCAAATAACAACCTGCGAGTTTATATCCTATTATTTCCACCGGAGCCAGGCCAACATGACCTGAGACGCAAGAGAGGGAGGGAGCGAGTGGTCGTTGAAGTGTGAAAATATATATATATATTTTATATATCCACACACACACACAACGCCAGGAATCAGAGCCGAGAGGAGAGAGAGACAGACAGAGAGAGGAGAGAGAGAAAGAGAGAGAAAGCAAAACACTGGGAGAACATATTTATTGAAATTCATTCTGTGTCGATGATCGTGCTCAATCCATCTGCTTTATGTTATCATTTGCATTTCATGCCTCCTGGCTTGGATGTGCTGATACTCTGATGATGTGGTGTGAGGCCCACATTATCATTATTTGCAATTTTCACGCACAAGGTAGGGTCAGGGGACACAGACATTCTCGTGGCTGTAGCCCCTCTTTCGCTGCGAAAAGGGATGGAGGGGAAAGTGACACTACCCCTCCCGACCCACCCCCCCAGCACCTTTATCCACCCGCACACATTTCCGCAGCAAATTAAAGGCGACCTCTCGATACAAGTAAGATTCGAAACCCCCCCTCCACCACCACTCCTTTTCCTCCCCTCCCTCTCTCTCACTTCAAAGACCAGGGCTCACAGGTCGCCTGAATTATACCAGAGAAATTTGTGTCTCACAGCAACGAGACTCTCTCCTCACAGACTCCACACCACAGGGTCACACAGACAGGACGCGATGAGACAACTCGATACCCCTCGCTTTCCAAAATACCTGCCCTTACCCCCACCCCAGCTTTTAACCCCTGCCCCCACAGTCCTCTTAACATCCCTCACTCTCCCCCACCTCCTGCTTAATAGCTTGCTTTATATCCCTCACCCCATTCCCTCTTCTTTGATACCCATCATCAACCCACCTCACTTGATACCCTCGCCCCCCCCACCCCCCCTCACCTGATACCCCTCACGTCACCCGGAAAAAAATCGAAAGCGCCAGAGTGAAAGCCAGAAAATAGAGAGTGAGAGAGAAAAGAAAAGAGAGAGAGTGTGAGTGAGAAAGGGAGAAAGTGAATGAGAGAGATAGAGAAAGAGAGAAAAAAAAGAAAGAACGAGTAAAGATGGGGAGGGGGGGGAGGGCAAGGAAAAAAAATCAGATGGTGGTGGTGGTGGGGGGGGGGGGAATCTATTACAATGAAAACAAGATTACGCTGCTATTCTGAGGCAGACTTGGTTCTCGTACTTCCCAGCGTGTTCAGACGTCGCCCTGCCATTGACGACTCGCATCCTATTCCCGTCTAATCTGAACGAACCCGCCTTTTTGGTAACATTAGGTGAGTTTACATAGCGCAGACTCCATTAGGGTCCTCTCATTGTGTGACGAGAGGCAGTCTTCCTTGCGGGTTATTAAGGGGGAGGATTTCATTAGGAAACGGCCATCGACACACGACTGTCACTCAGTCACACCGACACGCCATAAATAATTCATCGTCTTCAAATAAATGCCGAGGCTCCAAATGGAAACACAAACCGGTTGTGCAATTGCCATTTTTTTTTAAAACACCTCTCAAGTATTTTTTTTGGTACTTGACTTGACTTTAGGATGTGATGAGGGAGATCGAAGGAGTAGTGGGGGCGGCTTTTTAAAGGTTATTTTCCTTTGGTCAGTCAGGTGTCTGACACACGCGAGCGGAATTGGACTGAGAGTTCTATGGATTGTTGTGGGGGGAGTGGGTGGTGGGGGGGGGCAGGGAGGGAAAAGGGGAAGAAATGCAGTTACGGGTTAACTGCTGGGAGTTTAATCAGCTAAAGCCACAAGTTTGCCGTTGAGGGCACTGTCTGCTTGCCCAGGTACTCTCTCCCTCTCCCCAAAAAGGATCGTGACGTTTGTTGGGCAAGGGGTATCGACGGATTCGGGGCAAAAGGCGGGTAAACAGGAGCCGAGGTGTGGATCAGCCATGATGTAATAGAACGGTGGAACAGGCTCGAGGGGCTGAATGGCCTACTACTGTTTCTACGGTCGACTCAAACCTCGCCCCCGCCACAAGGAAGAGAGATCGCAACTCTTACCTTGTTCAAGGCCCCGGCTCCAGTCAAGATGATGTGCGAGTTCTCCACCTGGATGGTCCTCTGTCCGAGACGGACCAGATAAGCCCCGATCCCGATTGCACGGCAAGTGACCTGAGGAGAATACAGGCAACATAATAATAACATAATAATAATCCTTGCATTTGATAGAGCGCCTTATCACATCGTTGAGACGTCTCAAAACTCTTCACAGGATACAGCAGGACCCCTCGAGCCTGTTCCGCCATTCAATTAGACCACGCACTTCAACTCCAATAGACCGTGCAGTGTAGTGACTGTGTATTTTGTGGGCCAAACGCAAAATAAGAGTCTGCCTGCCTGTCAGAGGGTCATCTCAGCGTCAGGCACGGTAACGACACTAACATAAGGCTTGCGAGACAAAAGAAGACCAAGGTCCATCCAGTTTGCCTTCCACCATCCTGGCACATGTCGTGTTCCAGACTATATACTGTATCTCACGATATTATTTCCTAACAGAAATCGATCTTGTTTGCTTTTGAAAGGATCCAGCCTTATCTTCTTCCACCCGTCTCCCTAGGAAGCCAGTTCCAACCATTCGTGTGTCTGCGGATCTGCTTTGAATTTACCCGACCTTCGGTCAATCGCAGGCCGTGTCCTCTGGTTCTAATGTTCTGGACCAGATTGAAATCTCAACTTAAAACAGCAACGATGGGAAGGCCGTTCGAGACGGTTTGACGTCATAGGAGCAGAGGCTTACCAGGTTCATGGTGATCGTCTCTTCGTATGCCAACGATGATTCCCCGGCAATCATTCCTGACCCCCTCAGGTTCTCCACCCCCAGACCGTCCTCCTTCCCGATAATGTCCGTTATTTTGTACCTGAAAAATTAAATCATCGTGAGCCACCGCTAAACCCTCTACACGTAACTTTACAAAGTCCCCCATCCGTCCCTCTGTCCAGGCCCCCCACCTCAGTGAGAGGCTGATCCCAGCCCCCTCCCACCACATGCCCCCCCACCACCACCCTGTGAGAATTGTCCCGTGTAAGTGATGACGGGTGGAACTCAGTTTGGTTTGGACGCAGTGATTAATGGGTTTCCACACGTCAAGACAACCGACTGACCCACGCCCCCAGCCCCCCACCAAACACCATCCAAAAATAACACTGACCGCTGCCCACCCCCCAGTTAGGTAACATTTGCATGACGAGTGACAAGTGTAACCAGAAACGCTTGCACTGCTGTACGTGGTCTAAAGTTTTGACCCCCAAATACCGCCAAAGCTTTCCAACGTCCCCACGTACCGAGACTCTCCCTTGTCCTCCACGTGCTCACAGTGCACGGAGTTCAAGGCGCTGACTTTCTTATAGTCCTGGGGTGTGAGGTACAGATACTTGAACCCCTGTAAAGGAAAGAGAAGCTCAACTACAACAACTTGCATGTATATACTGAGCTAACGCCTTCGGTACAATAAATTCATAATAATGACCCTGGGATTTGACATCGCGCCTTATCTCGTCTTCGAGACGTCTCGAAGCGCTTCGCAGGACGTACTGTAAAGCGAATCGACGGTGTATTTTGTGGGCGAATCGCGGCAGCCAATTGCGCACAGCGACGTCCCCACAAATGGTCGTGAAGTAAATGACCAATTTTATTTTTTTTAATCTGAGGGACTGTCGGCCAGGACACCGGAAGAGAGAGAGAGAAACTCCCTTTAACGTCCACCTGAACAGGCCGAAGGACAGGTATATCCTTCCACTTCCATCTCGAAACCCACAATTACAATTGTGTAGCGCCTTTCACGTCGGGAGGACGCCCCAAGTCGCTGGGTTCTGCCTCCCCCGTCTTACTCAGTGGGGGCACTTCACAACCCAACAACTCCCCGAGCGGAAAAAGTTCCCCCTTAAGCTTTTCCCCCTGGCAGCGATTGGGTTTAAGACCTTGTACGGGTCGGTAGAGTCCTCCCAGGCCACGTGAAACATGTGCCTGATCTCCTCGGCCAAACCGATCCTGGCTCCGCTGTTTGCCGCGATATAAATGCGCGGGATGCCCTTGGATCGGGCGAGCTCGGAGGCCCTCAGGAACAGGATGTCCTCCTGCGGCCCGAAGGAGCCAATCCTGTGGGTGATGTCGTTGCTGATGACCACGATGTCCCGACCCTTGGGGTACTCGGGAGACTTGAGGTGCATCTTCCAGGCCACCATTCCGATCTGCAAGGCAACGCAACACACAACAGGCAAAGTTACCACAACAACTTGCAGTCACACGGCACCTTTCACGTCGCGAGAAACGTCCCAAGGCGCTGGACAGTCGAGGAATTGGACCCGAGCTGGGAGTTGGGTTCAGACAGAGGGCAGGGAGTAGGAAGGTGACCGGTACGGCGAAGGTCTTGAGACGGCCCTTGAAGGAGGCGAGGGAGGTAGAGCTTAGTGCGGGAGAGGACACGAGCTGCAGAGTTCCAAGTAATGTGCAGCTGGTACCGCTATGCGGAGCAGAGACTGAGCCTGCAGAGCAGAGGAACCGGACACGTTGACGGAAGTTTTAATAGGTCGCTTAGGTCGGGAGGAGGAAGACCGTAGAGGGCTTTAAAGGTGACAACAACAAATGCAACAACAACAACAACAACAAAACCGCCACCAAACAACAACTTGCACGCTTCATATCATGATACGTAAGGTAGGTTTGATCTACCTCCTGCCCAACCTCGAGGGCAGAGCAGCTGCTACGTGGGAAGAAAGCTACATCGCTTACAGTTCTGGAAGTTGCAGAAAGGTTCGCTTTTGAATTTAAAACTACACACACACACAAATAATATCTCGCGCGGAAATAACTTTAGTGGCGAGAGGTGCCACCTAGAGCAGATATCGTGGAACTGCGTATGGGAAATTCACGGTTGAGCCCCCGCAACAACACTGCATAGAAACCCCAACCTGCCTTATAATAACAACAACAACAATCCTTGCATCTGATATAGCCCCTTGTCATGTCGTTCAGACGTCACAGAAGCGCTTCACAGGATACACCGTAAAGTGCAGTGACTTGTGTGTTTTGTGGGCGAAATAGTGCAGAACAAAGAAGGGTTAAAAATAGTTGCCTGGTGCCTCTTCATTCCCCCCCACCACCCCCCCCCCCCCCGCAGCCCACCCCCACCCCAAACACGCACCATTCCTCTGTCACAAAACTCCGCTCTGCTCATTAATTACTCCCTGTGCAGCGTAAAGCCAGGTCCAGTGTTATAAATGAGTCTTTTGCACCCAAAGCTCAAGCCTTACGTGACAGCACTGAATGAGCACTATATTAGAAGGTGCTGAGAGCTGCATGAAGTACCATTGCACAGAGCCAGGCCGAGACACTTCTCGCTCGCTCGCTCATACGTCTACTTTCTCTCTCTCTCTCTCTCTCGCACACGCTCGGGCCCTGGACTGCGAGCAGCGCTGTGTAATTTGAACCAGGAGCGAGCCAGGCTCCTCTTGGGAATCGTCTCATTTCCCCACAGTTTTCATCAGCCGGAGAGCGAGCGAGCGAGCGAGAGAGAGAGCGAAGCAATTTTTTGCGGCTGGCGTTAACCCCTCGCGGTGGGGAGTGATTTTTGGTCCCATCCTAGGATCATTCAGTCGTTTACTCTTCTCCTCCCCCCCCCCCCTCCACCCTACTCAACCACATTCAATAATAACTAATTTTTATATTATGGGGGAAAGTGAGGTGGGTGGGGTTTGGGGGGGAGAAAGCACCCTTCTCTTTTTGAGGATTGCCACAGGAATCTTTAATAAAAAGAAATAATAATAATCCTCGATAATGACGCCCTCAAAGAGTTTCGCGGGTATTTACTGTGAAATGCGGCGATTGTTCTTTTGCAGACCAAAGCGGGAGCACAAGTTGACTTGCGCTCAGCGACGACTCTCACACACAGCCGTGAAGTCAGTGAGCAATTTTATCTGGTTGGATTGTCGGCCAGGACACCTGGGGGAGAGGGGAGGGGGTGCAGGAGAAATTCCCTTCTCTTTTCGAACAGTGCTATGGAATCTTGCTATGGAACATCCACCTGAACAGGCAGACGGGACCTCGGCTTAACGTCTCATCTGAAGGACGGCACCTCCGTCGCCTCACTGGAGCGAGAGCCTGAACTACCTGAGCGGATGTGAGGATTGAACCCGCAATCTCTGGACTCGGAGGTGGGAGTTCTACCAACTGAACGGACACACACACACACACACACACATCATAAAACCATAAGACGTAGGAGCAGGAATAGGCCATTCGGCCCCTCGAGCCTGCCCCGCCACTTAATAAGATCATGGCTGATCTTCTAACCTAATTCCATTTACCCGCCCTATCCCTTAATCACTTTCGGTTTTAAAAATCTATCAACCTCAGTCATGAATATGAACGCACACAGACACACACACAGACGCACACACACAGAGACACACACACGCTCTCTCCCCCTCTGTCCCCACCTCTCTCTCTCTCCCTCGTGTTTGTGGAGGCTGGGGTGTGTGCGCGTGTGTTTGCTCCTCACTCCCACTCACCTCGTTCCCTCCCGGAAGTCGGTTCATCTGCACCAGCTGTCCCTGACTGTCCAGCACCAGCTCCGTGTATGTCAGGATCTCGGTGGACAGGGAACATTCCGGTAAATGGGCTTGGATTTCCATCGAGGTCCACAGTTTGAGTAGAGCCTGGGTGAGGGCGGCGGGGATGGGGGAGAAGAGCGAGCGAGAGAGAGAGGGGGGGAGAGAAGAAAGCAAGTGAACGAAAGGACTGTTTTTGAACAGAACAAAAGAAAAAGATTCCTATGAAAAGGGACATGCGTGTGGATTCATGCGCTCTCAGGCAAGCGCACATGAACGTTATATTCACACATACGTGTACGCTCGTGCGCACTGGCACATGTGCTTTTGCGTACAAGGACGGCCCCCAGAATCTATACAACAACAGGTTACATTTGCACAGCACCTTTTACGTCGGGAAGTGACGTCCCAAAGCGGAGATAAACTACCTCTATAAAACGCCAGAGTTCTCCACCGCCATCACAGAACGAGGCCATTCGACCCATCGTGCGTGTACCTACAGCGCTGTCCACTCTATCCTCCTCCCCCCGCCCCCCCCACCCCAGCCTAGTAAACGTTTTACCTGTCGGAACATTTCCGGAAAGTCGTACACGTAAGTGGTTCCGAGGGACTGAGCCTGGAAACGTTTAGACTGGAGCAGGTCCTTGGTGACGTAGGGTGTGTTGATCAGCATTCCGTGCAGAGGACCCTGCTTATCTCCGTAAGCCTGGAACATGATCTGTGTGTATACCAGCGGGCGAGAAAGACAGAGACACAGTTAGACAGGGGGGAGATGAGAAGGCGGGGAGCGGGGGGGGGTTGGGGGAGAGAAGTTGGGGGTTGAGAAGGGGCAGAGAAAGTGGGGCGGGCGGGGTGGGACGGGGGAAAGAACCTTTTATTGTTTTGTCTTGAAAATATTTTTCCACAAAAGTCGCTCTGTTGAGATGTTAGAGGCGCCAAAGCTCAATCTTAAAGAATGTTTCTCTTGGAGAGAGAGAGATTACCTCGACCTGGTTCAACCCCCTCCCTCCCCTCAAACAATACACGCTTCGTCTACAACAACATGCATTTATATCGCACCCCTCACCCCCCCTCGCTCTCTCCGCCCTCACTCCTCTCTCTCCTGCCCCCCCCCCCCACCCACTCCCCCACCGCCCCACTTCACTCTGCTCACGTGTTAATTCCTGAGAGTTCAAAGAACTCGGACACGTCATCAATTGCATTTGTGAGGCGAAAGGTTCTTTTAAGAAGAAAACTACGAGAGAAAGAGAGGAATATCTCAGGGTAAGAAAAATATCAGTAGTAGACAGCTCACCTCTCTGCCCTCTCTGCCACAGGGATTGGTGTATTGTGTATGGGGGACCTGAAAAGAGACAAAGGATATGTGCGAGAGCGAGAGAGAGAGAAAATAATATTAAAGTTTTTTGTAAAAAAAAGACAAAATAGTGATAGTAAAACTATCCTGAGCTCTCATCAACCCCACCCTCACCCCACCCCACCGGAGGAAGGGAGATTCCATTAAGCCGACCTGGCAATAATAATTATATACTGAAATAATATACGATAATATTCCTTGCATATGATGCAGCCAGGGCCTGATCACGTGGTGGAGATGCCTCTCAAAAGCGCTTCACGGAATACACTGTAAAGTGGAGTGACTGTCCATTTTATGGGCGAAACACGGCACAGCCAATTGCGCACGGCAGTCGTGGAGTGAGTGACCGTATTTTTTCTCCCCCTGGAATCATTGGTAACTGGACTTGCCCCCCCACCCCACCCCTCCCGAGACCCTGCTTAATCTAAGATCGCGTCGCTTTGCAACAAAAAGATTCAGCGCAAATCCCTGACATCTCCCCGGCTCCATCACCTGTCCGGTCCTGGAGTTGGTCACCTCCTTGTACAGGCTGATGTCTAAGTAGTAACCGGACTCGTTGGTTAGGAAGAGGCGGATGGGAATGGCCTTCCCCGTGGGAGTCAGGCGGATGTTGATCTTCAGCTCGGCTTGGAGCACCCGCAGTTTCCACAGCCGACTGCCGTACCTCATCACCATACTCCGCACGGACTCCTCAATCTGAAACAGCAACAAATGACAACAATTTACACTGCGCCCTCCCCCTTCTCACGTCGGGAGGACGTCTCAAAGCCCCGGACAGTCGGGGATTAGGGGGACCCGAGCTGGGGGGAGGGAAGGGGGGGGGGGTTGGGAATCTGGAGGGGTGGAGGGCAGGGAGGGGTTAGGGGTAAAGAGGGTGACCAAAGGCGCGGTCGAAGAAGAAGCAGATTTTGAGACGGGAGTTGAAGGAGGGAGGGAGGCGAAGGGACTGTGGGATGGAGTTGCAAAGGGTGGTGGGGGGAGGGAGAAACGTGGAGCGGAGGGAGCGGACAGGGAACCTCATCGAGAGGCCGGTCAAGTCTCCAGTCAACCCTCTCTCGGATCAAACGTTGGTGAATGGCGGCCCCCGCCCACCACCCCACTCCCCCGGGTCAGTCACCAGTTAACCGCGCTCTCGGGTGAAGGGAAGATAAGTGAAGCGGGCTGCCCCCACCTTGGAGGGGTCCATGATGACCGTGGGCACGAAGTTGAGGAAGATGTGGTTGCAGTCGGTTCGCACGTTGGTATTGTTAAACGCCACCTCCAGTTCGTCCATGGCCTCCAGCAGCAGCCGCTCCCCTTCGTTCTGCAGGTACTCGAACGAGGCCTCCTGCAGCCGGAGTAGGAAGGACACACGGCGTTAAGAGTGAGCGAGGTATTATTTCGGGGGGTTGGGGTTGGGGTTTGGGGGGGTTTGGGGAAGCGAGGCTGAGTAAAACTCAGCGAAAGAGCGGGTTCCCCTTTAAGTCGTCGTCGGGGAAGACGCCTCAAAAAAGCCACGACCGACTGTGGAAACCGCTGATCGGACCCAAACGGTGGAAACCAAACCTATTCTCTCTCTTCGGGGAAAGAGAGATGAGTCTGATACAAACAACAGCCCCCCTCCCTCCACCCCCGGACACCCCGGAACACAACCCCACCCCCCCCCCAAAAAAAAACAATCGACAGTACGTGGACGAGTCGGGGGGTACGGGGGTTAAAGGCAGAACCGGGCCGTGGGTATCGGAAGCCCGACGAGGAACGGAACGGCACAGCGACATCCGCGACCCGGAGTCCCCTCGGGCTCGCGCTCACCTTGGTGACCAGGTCGGAGTGGCGGATGATGGCCCGCACGAAGAACCTGTAGTCCGTCACCTCGGTCCCCGCCTCCACCTTGGCCGCCCCCAGGTACAGGTGCATCTTGTGGTTGGCACAAGGCATGGCTGTCAGGTCGAAGTTCCGCATCCGGTTTAGCTCCAGCTGGAAAGCCAGAGCCGGCTCCAGGTGCCGGTAAATCCTGTCCTCCTCAAACTGTTGGGGTGGGGCAGGGGGTGGGGGAGAGGGGAGAGGGAGGGAGAGAAAGAGTGGGGGAGAGAGAGAAGGTCACAAAGAAAAAGAAGCAATTGAGTCACTCCACAAAGCCCATCTCAAAGCGCTGTACAGGATTTGACTATGAAATGCAGGGGTCGTTGTGCATTTGGTGTAGCCTTCATCCCCCCACCCACCCCCCACCCACACCCACCCCTACAGCTCAGCGGGTAGCCCTCTCGCCTCTGGCTCAGAAGGTTGTGGGTTCCAGCCCCCGCTCCAGCACGCGCAGCTCGGGGCCTCTTTAAGGCTGATTTGTCAAGAGGTGAGAATCCGCAGTATGGGTTCGGAGACACCGGGGATGGAATTCCCGAGCTGGGGAGTGGGAGTGGGAGGGGGTGGGGGAACGGTGGGGTAGTGGGTCGTGGTGGTGGTGGTGGGGTGGGGGGGAGGGGGGGGGAAGGAGCGCGTTGTGGTAACTAACCGAGCAAAGCTCCAACAAACCGAGAGTGTCAAGTCCTCGTCATCCATTCCGCTCTGAAAGGTGACAGCGCGAGGCAGGGCAGTGATATTTACGCCTCGTATTTTATTTACAAAGCAGGATTAGACGCACAAGCCACATTACCCGAGGGGGCAGTGGGGGGGGGGGGGGTGGGGGGGGGCGCGGAGGGATAATCTACTTCACAAAAGCAAAGGACTCCCGAGCTCTGATACGCCCCCTACTGTGTTGACTGATGGAGCTTTTTGTGATCAGGCTTTTACATCTCATCAACCAGAAAGAACCGCGCAGGCACAACACTCCCAGGTTTGGAGACTATTGCAGCGCGGTTCTTCCAGTATAATAAAGCTGTCTCTCTCTCTCTCTCTCTCTGTGTCAGCCATTTCACCCCCCCCACTTCTCCCCACCGAAAAAATTCTAGAGCTGCGCAAATACCTCATGCTCTTAGCCTTAAGATCGCGCACTTAAAATCGGAGATGGCGTGGAAATTTGGTGCGAGAGTGGACGCGGGGCAAAGGAGGCGCTCTGCACGCCTGCTTTGGAGTTTCACGAGAAGAAGCCTATTTTGCGCCGGTTGTATTATTATTAATAATAATAATAATAATCCTTGCATTTGATACAGCGCTTTGTTGAGACGTCTCAAAGCGCTTCAAGGAATATACTGTAAAGTGGGAGCGAAACACGGCGAAACAGTCATGGATTGAGGGAGCTTTACTTTTTGGGGGCGGGGGTGGGGGTGGGAGGAGAGTGTTACTGGAGGATGCTTCACAGGACTAAATGGGAAGTGTAGTAACTGTGTACTGTATCGCTCCCAGTACCTTAAGCTGCTTACCTTGTCTCTTGCTCGGAAAGTAAAGAACTTGGGGAATTCTCTCTGTTTAAAAAGAAAAGAGGGTTTGGGGAGGGGAAGAGAAACACGGAGCACGGTTATTGTGCATTTTAAAAAAATCACCCCGAGCAACGACGTGACATGTGAGAGAGGGCGGCAAATAACCCAAAAGCTCTCGCGCTCGGAGCGCAGGGGGAGAGAGAGCGAGCGAGCGAAAGAGAGAGCTGTAAATCAACATCAGCGCCCAGCAAACGATCAAAGACAGCAAACGATCAACGATCAATAGTGTGTTCGAAGGCAAGCGCGGCAGCCAATTTGTGTGCAATAGTGTCCACAAACAGCCACGAGGCGAAGGACCGATTTTACCTGGTGGGGAAGGGGTGGCGGGGGAGATTCTCGGCTGGGACACCGGTTTGTGTTTTTTACTCCCGTGGAGGGCAAGGAGGGTAGGGGCAGGAGGGCGGCCGAAAGAAAGCGGGGGCGAAGGGGAGGATCTTGAGACGGGCCTTGAAGGAGGCGAGGAAAGGAAAAACAAACTCCCTCTCTCCCTTCCTCCGCTTAAATCAAATCAGTGCCAGTTACATTAAACCGAGCCCTGAAGATCAGTTGAGACGTTTTGGGGAGGGCATTAGCTCCTGCTGTGAGCCGAGTAGTCATCCATTTCCGAGACAATCATAATAATGTGCTTAATTTAACTGTTGCAGGCGCCCCGCAACTCAGCAAATGTGAAAACGAGCAGCAAAAAAAAAAAAAAACGGAATCATTTTAGCCAGTTATTGCATTGATAATCAGGTTAAATGTTAATAAGAAGAGATTAGCTACTTATTGAACCATCTACTCAAACCAAACTCTCCTCCTCTCTCCAACTCAATTCCCCCCGCCCACAGCCCACCGCCCCCGCCCACCCACCATCCTACCAATCCATCTCCCCCCCCCCCCCCCAGGATGCTTATTAAAGAGACAGTAAATAAAATTAGCGAGTAAAGGGTTCTGCGGATTGTTTTACATTAATGGGGGAAGGAAATGTACAGGGAGCAGAAACAGCTGACCGTCTCCCCTTCTGCACCGTTAAGTGCGTAATATTAACCGTTTCCCAGGATTTTAATGTGGTAGATGTAGACCTGATATTGCTCGTGGTCTTAGCCTCTGGGGCAGGGGGGTGGGGGGGGGGGAGGGGTGGGGGTAAGAGTTTAAGAGGGTGAGGATCTCGAGCAAGATACTCTAATCGAGGCTGGATTTTCGCAGAAGAGTTTCCAAGAGTAACAAAGTTATGAGGTTCCTCTCACCTAGGGCCTTGTGGAGACAGAGTGTGTATGTATTATATCAGACAGTCCCAATCGCTGACTGCCCAGCGCCTTGGGACGTCCTCTCGACGTGAAAGGTGCTATAAAATGTAATTTTGTATTGTACTGTAAAGTCCTGATAACTCGACCCTGCCTCTAACTTGCCAGTAACCACTCGGGGCATCTGTCAGCTGTCGAAATCCAGGTAACTCGTCACTGAACCCCCTTTCCCCCTTGGAGTGTCGAGTTATCAGGAGTTTACTGTGTGTACATATTTATTCTAGACGTAAACGTGTGAATGTTACGTAAAATATTCGTGCCCAATCTTGAAATGTAAAGATTCCAACAACAGACCGGTGAATTGCGGCAAGGTTTTAAGAAAGTGGGGGAAAAAAAAATCTACCCCACTGCGCCCCCAAAGACAGGCTCCCCTCCCTTCACCGAAAGAGACAGCTCTCGGAACGCTCTATCTCTCTCTCTCTCTCTCCAAGCGTGTCCGACTTACGTGGAATCTTTGATCCACCTCGTAGTTGCACTGTTTCCTGAAATCCTTTGGCACGAACCAGGAAAAAATAAAAAAAACACAAAAGACAAGAAAATAGCTGTTAGCTTCTCTCCCACACGAGCACGCACGCCCCCCCCCCAAATCGATGGCGCATTTTTACTCGCTTCCCTTAACTCACTGGCACAAGAGACGAGAGCTTATATGAGAAAAAAATTCCCCGCTCGCTCAAGAGAGTTGGCGGGATGTGGAAACAGGTGAGGTGGTAAAGGCAGAGGCTGTTGTGGGTTTCAATAATAACAATATTAATAAGTATTTGATATCTATCGCGCCTTATCATGTCTTTGAGACGTCTCAAAGCGCTTCATGGAATATACCGTAAAGTGAATTGACTGCATATTTTGTGGGCGAAACGGGGCAACCAATTGCGCACAGAAGCGTCTCCACAAACAGTCGTGGATTGAAGTGACCGAGATATTATTATTATATTTTTTCTTTTTATTATTTATTACCCCCGGCAATCGACTAACAACCGGGTTCCTACTTACTGCTGGGTAAACAGAGGCGTGTGGAGTAAGGAAACTTGCCCCACGTTTCGCCCTGCCCCGGGAATCGAACCCAGGTCCTCGCGCTTGCGAGGCGAGTGCTCGCTAACCACCGAGCTACAGGACTCCCATGAATATACTGTGATTGCGTATGACTAGGGTGAAGTGCGGCAGCTAACTGCACTTTGCCAAGAGGTGAAGGAATCCGTCAATACCTTCTGAGCCACAAGAAAGGTCAAACGACGAATGCCGTGGTCGATCAGAACAGATTTCTGAAGAAGAGAGAAAACAAATTAAAATGGGACACAGTGAGGTGTCTCAGCGAATCGCTCCTATAACACGGGGAACAAGTCTACGCCTCTCTTTCCCTCCCTCACCCCTCCCAGCCGCTGAACACCTGAAACTCCCGTCTCTTTTTGAATTCCCGCCACAGGATCTTTACCTGGGGCAGGAACAGCCGGGACCTGGGTTTAATGGCTCATTTGAGGGACGGCGCGCTCAAAATGTGGCGCTTACCTGCACCCAACACCCCTGCCCAGCCACCCACCCACTCACTCGCTCTCTCATCCACTCACCCACCCACTCACTCACCCACCCACTCTCTCACCCACCCACTCTCTCACCCACCCACTCTCTCACCCACCCACTCTCTCACCCACCCACCCACTCACTCTCTCTCTCACCCATCCACCCACTCACCCACTCTCTCACCCACCCACTCTCTCACCCACCCACTCTCTCACCCACCCACCCACTCACTCTCTCTCTCACCCATCCACCCACTCACCCACTCTCTCACTCACCATGGAATGCATGAACTCCTCAAACATCACCGCCAACCCTTCGTCATCAATGCCATTGTCTATTTTGATGCCCACGTTGAGGATGTGAATGGGTTCGTCTCTCATACTCTGCAAATTCAAAAAAAAACACAAGGGACAGAGAGAGAGAAATATTTTTATATACGTCGAAAATAAAACTCTTCAAAAGGTCACCGTGGCTCCCGACGTCTCTCCCTCCTCCCGACCTCGTCGCCTCGCTCTCACCTTATTGTCGTCCTCGTCGTACAGGGAGGCATGTCCCGGTTCGGGGAAGGTGGGGCTTGGGGGCGGGGAGTCGGAGAAACAGCTGGTCACTTCCTGGAAGTTTCTGAAATAAATAAAACAATAACAATAATAATAATAATACTTAATCCTCGCATTTGATACAATGCCTGATCCGGTCGGAAGGACGTCTGAAAGCGCTTCACAGAGTGCACTGCGAAAAAAAATGGCACCGACTGTGTATTCGCAAGCAAACACGGCGTCCAGGTGTGTAATGGTTCGCGCTCATGGCATAAAGTAACTCCTTCATTCTCTGCTCCCAACACTTCAACCATAAATCCACGCCAGTTGTTCGCCCAGAATCCCTTTTTATACCCGCCTGGTCTTCTTCTATTGCTTTCTAGTTAGTTAATTAATCAATTAATTAATTAATAATAATCCTTGCATTCGATACAGTGGTTTATCACCCGGTTGAGACGTCTCAAAGCACTTCATCAACGAGGATACACTGTAAAGTGGAGTGACTGTATGTTGTGCACAGCAGCGTCTCGGTCATGGATGGAAGAGACCGATTTATTATTGCTCTTATCTTTTTCGCCAGGAAACGAGGCTACTGTCCTCACCTGACAAAGTCCTCGAAAGTGCGGAAGGAGACCATGGCCCCCATGCGCTGGCAGGGGGGAGTGAAGGCCGTGTCCAACAGTACGTCGCTCACGCTCGCCACGTGCATCATCCCGTAGTGATTGAGGTTGGACGAGAAAGACATTCTGGGCATCCAGGGCACAAAGGGCAAACTGTTAGAACCAGTGATAGAAAGAGAGAGAAAAGAGGGAGAAAAGCGAGAGAGAGAGAGAGAAAAGCGAGAGAGAGAGAGAGAAAAGCGAGAGAGAGAGAGAGAGAGAGAAAAGCGAGAGAGAGAGAGAGAGAGAGAGAAAAGTGAAAGAAAGAGAGAGAGAAAGAAAGAAAGAAAGAAAGAAAGAAAGAAAGAAAGAAAGAAAGAAAGAAAGAAAGAAAGAAAGAAAGAAAGAAAGAAAGAAAGCAAGAAAGCAAGAAAGAAAGAAAGAAAGAAAGAAAGAGACACAGAGAAAAGAGAGAGACAGACAGAGAAAGAGAGATGCAAAAAAGATATTACAAGCGGGGTGTTTGGGCTGGGGGGAGGGAGGGGAACTTGTACGATACCTGTTCAGCGTAGGGATGTTGCCTCTGAAATCGAAACAGAGTGTAATAAAGTGAAAATCAATACAAGTCGCTCAACTAAACCTCGCTGCTGTTATTACAGTTGTAAGCGATAATATGTAAACACGCACACACACACCCAACCACTACACACGCACACACCCAACCACCACACACGCACATACACACACAACCACCACACACGCACACATACACAACCACCATTACACACACAACCACCATCACACACACACAACCACCACCTGCATCCACCCACGCATGTGACACACATACACCCACACATGTGTGAACACTCTCACACACACATGCAGGCACGCCCCGGGGGGAGTGTGTGTTACCTGTTCGGGTGGGACGTGGGCAGCATAAACTGGAACTCCACAATGCAGGTGCCGTCCTGCAGCTGCCGATGTTGAACGCTGTTCAGCTCGTACGCGATGTAAGCCCTGCGGACGTACACCTGCCCCACCACACAGGCACAGACACAGACAGTGAGCAACACAGAACACAGCCACACGGCAACTCCCCAGGTTAAAATATAATAATCCTTACATTTGATAAAGCGCCTTATCACTACACACACACACACATACAGACACACACACGCACAGACACCCACATGCACAGACACACACATAGACACACACACACACACACACAGACACATACACACAGCACACACACACAGAGACACACAACACATAGACACGCACACTCCACACAAATGAACCAAGAGAGCACGGTTGGCGCGGGGCCGGGGGAGTGGGCGGCACTCACCTCCAGAGCCGCCATTCTCACCACCTGGTTGCTGTGGTAGAAGAAGTTGGGCAGCACGTCGAAGATGGAGGTCTCAGACAGGATGAGTTTCTGCCAGAAGGAAAAGGCTCGTGAGAATTTCACCGGCGAAAACCCGGGATTACCCGGGGCAGCACACAGAGTCGGCAAAAATCAAGCGGGAGCTGGGTAACAGGGCGGAAACGATGCTGGAGGCACAATTATAATAAGAACCCTGGCATTTGACACGGTGCTTTTCACACCTGGTGAATGTCTCAAAGCGCTTCCCAGGATTTAACGTGAAGTGTTCCTGTGTATGTTTGTTGGCAAAATCCCCAAATCCCTCTGCCTGACTCTCTCTCCCCCCCCACCGCCCCCCACCCCGGTGTTTCTGGGTGCGTTCCCCTGATTACCTGGAGGTTCTCGATGCAGAACTGATGCCCGTACATGTCGATGGCCGAGAGGAAGATAGACTCCACCTGGTTATGCCGAAGCTCGTAGGACGGCAAGTGCGACGCGATCAGGACCTGTGGCGCAGAACAGCACAAACACCGAGACACTGAGACACAGGGTCTAAACCACACACACTCTGAGACACAAAGTATACCACCCCCACACACAAACACACACACAGAGACACAAAGTCTAAACCACACACATACACTGAGACACAGGGTCTAAACCACACACACACAGACACAAAGTATACCACCCCCACACACAAACACACAGAGACACAGATATAAACCACACATGCTGAGATACAAGGTATACCAGCCCTCCCCCCCCCCCACACACACACACCCTGAGACACAAAGTATACCACCCCCACACACAAACACACACACACAGAGACACAGGGTCTAAACCACACACACACACACATATTGCAGGGTAGGGTCCCAGAGCGCTTGACAGAGACGGAGCCCAACATCGAGCCAGGGGGAGGGGGGGAGGAAGATCTTCAGGCGCGACTGGAAGATGGGGAAGGAGGGCGCGAGGCAGAGGGATTGAGCGAGGAGTGCGCGCGAGTGTGGGGTGGGGGTGCGGATTCTCTCTGACCTGTCGGGCTCTCAGAGCCACCTTGGCGTTGGTAGTCTTGCTGAGTTGAGTCAGCTCCGTCAGGATAGCGATCAGCTCATCGGTCAGGGTAGGGTCCCGGCCACACAGCTGATCCTGGAGACAACAGACGCGCAGAGCGAGGAAGGTCGGGATTCACACTCAGACCAAAGCTTCAAAGCGTTCAGATGTTAAACACAAGCGAAATCTCCATCTCTCTGTCTACCCTTTTCCAAACTATTCACAAACCATTCAATACTGTGCAGGACGGTGGGGGAAATGCACTTAAAACGGTCGCAAAATAAAAAAGGAGATGGGGGGGGGGCCCATGGGAGGCCATAGGGGGGAAAAGGCAAAAAAAAACAAATTTTCGCTCCAACTAGATTAGGTAAGATTTTGAGCTGAAATAATAATAAAAGTAATAATAATGCTGGCATTTGATACAGCGCCTTATCACGTCGTTGAGACGTCTCAAAGCGCTTCACAGAATATAATGTAAAGCGAATTGACCGTATATTTTGTGGGCGAAACGGGGGGCAGCCAATTGCGCACAGGATTGAGCGATTCCTTTTTTTTCCCCCGAAAGTTTTCTTTTAAGTAGTAAGTTCGAAGTGTGTGTGTGTTGGGGTGTGGTTGTGAGTTTCTTTGCCGTGCTTAAGAAAATATATAGCCAAAGCGTTGAGTATCAAACACAGACTGCCTGCATTCCACCCCCCCCAACACCCCCGCACAGTCTCTCTCCCCCAACCCCATCTCCTCCGCTTTATCCCCCCTCTCTCTCCCCCACCTCCCCCACCACCTCTCTCTCTCTCTCTTCTCCGCATAACATAACATCGGTGAACAAAGCCATCTCCGCTCTGTGTAAGTGGCTAGCACCTCCATGACACCCCGATGTAATTACACACTTCAGTGACTGGACTCTGAAGAAAATTGAAGGTCTGCCCTGAGAACAGCTGGCGTCTCGCTCTTCCCATCGCCACTGCCTGATTACATGAGGAATGAACAGCCCGGCTCAAAGCCACTCCAGAAATCTCAGAGGAAATACCGCTTTGTGTTAGAATAATGAGATTCTTCGCAGACGAGCATTACTTAAAATCACGGGACGAGGGGAAAAAAAAATAAAATAGAACAGAATAGAAATGAAACGAGGTGCGGGTTCCTGGCTGCGGCTCGGGATTAGCACGGAGAGTTGGGGAGGGGGTGGGGTGTGGGGGGTGGTTGGCGGGGGCACAGGCGGGTGAGAGAGAGAGAGAGCGCAAGACTCACGATGAGCATTGTCACCAGCAGGTTTTTCTTGGTGACTTGGGCGTGGGAGAAGATGTAGTTCAGGACGGTGCTCATGTCTCCCTTGTGGTCCTCTCGCAGAGCGAACACACACTTGTCATAGTGGCCTGTGGTTCGAGAGATAAGAGATAAAGAGATATTGTTGCTGTATATGTATATATATATAGAGAGAGAGAGAGAGTCTTCTCACATCTCAAAGCGCTTCACGGAATATATACCTTAAAGCAAACTTGACTGTATATTTCGTGGGCATTTCGCAAAGTCTCAAAGACATAATAAGGCGCTCGATCAAAAAAATTGCAAGGATTATTCTTAGCATTATTCCAGAAAACTCATGATAATTTGTCTCTCCAAGGGAAAAAGGATCAATGACGAGTTATCAGGAGCACGGGGTCAGGCATACATATGAACGCAGTACATGAATAAGTACTGCCGATATATTAATAGGGTAATGAGAATGACTTCAGTGGTAGGGACAAGTTAAGCCAGGGTTGAGTTATCAGGAATTTACTGTACAATAATAAAATAACAACAATCCTTGCGTTTGGTCAGGTTTTCACGTCAGGTGGACTTCCCAAAGCTCTTCGAAGGATATATTGCAAAGTGCAGTGACTGTGAATTTTGTGGGTGAAATGCGGCAGCCAATTTGCACTCAGTAATGTCCCACAAACAGCCACCAATTTTAAGTAATTTTAATTATAAGTGAGCCACAATTTTATTCCGGGGGCTTGTTGGCCAGGAAAACTCCCTTCTCTTTTTCAAATCCCTATGAGCCTATGTCCTCTAGTTAGCGACACGGGCCACTGGAAATAATTCACGTCATCAAAACCATTCGATCAGGTCTCTTTCTCAGCCTTCTCCGTTCTTGCGAGACCAGCCCCGGCTTCTCTGATCCTTTCCACGTACGTACAGGGTGACCAAAAAAAATCGTGATTATCTATACCTTCCGCTTTGCCCCCTTCTCGCCCCTTTTTCAAGTCCCGCCTGAAGATCCTTCTTCTCCGACCATGCTTAAAAGTCACACCCTCCCACCATCCCGCCTCGGAGTCAGGCTCCGCCGCTGTTAAGCGCTCTGAGACTCTACCGTGCCTGGAGGGCACTATATCATTGCAAGTTGTCGCGGTAGACGTATTGGACGTTGTGAGAGGGCATCACGGCTTGTTGGACACCCTGCGGGACCTCCCACCGTTGGGACCGCCCGAGGGAACCTCCGCTGCTCCCCCTCCCAACGTGTCTTTTCTGTACAAATATTAGTCGATGCACGATCGATGTACGATCGAGTCCTCGTTGGGCGTTTGATACCCGCGCGGCAGCTTGGCGAGGAGTTCCCTTTCAGCTGCAATGCCCCCAAGCTGACGGGTCACAAAATGGTGCGTGAGTGCCACCTACTGGTGAAACAGCAGCGATGCAACCAACGCAATACATAATAATAATAATAATAATAATAATAATAATAACAACAACCCTGGCATTTGACACGGCGCCTTACCAAGTCTTCCGAGACCTCTCAAAGCGCTTCACGGGATATACTGTAAAGCGCATTGACTGTATATTTTGTGGGCGGGCGGATCACGGCAGACAATTGCGCACAGCGGCGTCCCACAAACAGTCGTGCATTGAGTGATCAAATTATTAGGGATTATTAACCACCGTCCGTCCCCCCCCACTCCTGGAAATCGATCCGCCAATCGACTAACAACCTGATCACTGCGGGGCAAGCAGAGGTGTGCCTGCGGAGTAAGGAAACTTGCCGAAGGTTTGGCCCGGCTCGGCGAGGGCTCTAACCACTGAGCTACGGGACTCCATTTGTACACCTCTATCGTCACTTCTTCACTGGCTCTCTGAGAATGCAATCCATTCAATGCCGCTGCCCTATACTAGACCCCTTTACCCCTTCAAGCCTCGAGCTTTTTTTCCAGCTACTGCCTCGGCCACTCACCTTGTTGGAACTGGATCTCAACCTTCAGGTATTGTCGGAGAAGGTCCATGACGACCGCTTTCATGTGACCCCGGATTCCACTCCGATATCTGAGTGAGACAGAAAGAGAGAGAGAGATAGAGAGAGAATGAGTGAGACAGAAAGAGAGAGATTTGCTGCCCGCAAACTGGAGAGTTTTTGTTTTTTCCCCCCCTTTATAATATCCCGAGTTGACCTAAGCTTTTTTTCCCTGATTAAAAAAAAGACAATCGGAGACAGAAATTTTTAATCCATCTAAAAAAAAATGGTGTGTGTGTGTCTCTGTCTGTGTTTCTGTCTGTGTGGCTGGGTGTGGGTTCGAACCCACAACCCTCCCCACCCAACTTTCCCCCGAGCTGCCGCTCTCACCTCTGCACCAGCTGCACGATGCTCTGCGTGTTCATGAAGAAAACCTCCCGCTCGGACTTCCTGTTGAGTGTCGCAGCGTGGCTGTCCAGTATGTTGGCGATCTGAAGGCGGGAGGTGAAACCCGTGAATAACAATGATAATAATAAAATCCACAACAATAATAATAATAACCCTCGCGTTTGATCCAGCGCCTTATCGTGTCGTTGAGACGTCTCAAAGCGCTTCCCGGGGGATATGCCGTCAAGTCTGAAGCTCTGCGCCAATCGGCCGCCGCGTTTCGCCCGCAAAACACACAGTCACCGCGCTGTATTTGTTAGGTCAGGGTACGAAGGGATACTGGTATGAAGCGAAACTGCGTCAAACGTAAGGATTAGAAGGCGCTGGCGGTCGCCGGGAGGTGGGGGTCTGCTCCGTTGCTCTGCCCACTGACCCCAGCGCCGTGCCACTCTTCCCCCTCCGCGCCTACCTGCTGGCTGGGGAATTGGCAGAGGACAGAGGTGATGTTGCTGGCGTACTGCGCCATTTCCTTCTTGATGCATTTCTCCACGGCCGGGGGAATGCGGCCCGACACGCTGGTCATGATGTCCTGCAGCTCCAGCAGGGGCAACGAGGGGTCCCTCAGGGTCTTCATCAGCCGCTCCACCCAGTCCTTCACCTGCCGCAGGAGGGAGGAACGTCAAAATAACACAGTCCCTGCGTGGGTGCGCGCAACAGTGTGTGTGGCACGGTGTGTGTGTGTGTGCGTCTCTCTGTCTGTGTGTGTGTGGCTATGCGTGCGTGAGAGTGAGTGTGTGTGTGCGTCCGTGCGTGCGCACCTTGATGGCAAAGTAATACTCTGGCAGGCAGTAACCGTTCATGATGTTGCCCAGATTGTCCAGGACGTAGTGGTAGACCCTGTGTAGCTTCTCCCCCCGCAGCGCCAGGCTCTGGATGGGGTCAAGTGGCCCCGTAAACGGCTCCGCCTGAAATCCAAACACAGTCACCTCACAATAAACACACACTAAACTCCACACACCTCCCCCCTTCCTTGCTCTTAGCTGGTAAGACTCCAGGAGTCACCCCAAAACCGCGGCCCCTCCTCCCCCACCCCGAAAACACACACTCTGGGGTCCCGCCTTTAAGCCTTGGCTCTTGCCAACCTGCGCCTAAGACAGTCCTGAATTAGGTAAGCAGGATGCTTCTCTCCAGAGAGAGAGAGAGAGAGAGCGCATTCCACTCCCACAATCTATCGTTGGTATTTCCAGGTGTAGGTGGGATGTGTGGTCATCTCAGTTTGGTTTGGATGCCTTTAAGCAACGGTGACGGGTTTCCGCGTGTGTCAGACACCCCCCAAAAAAAAAAAAAAATCCGCCTGCGTTGCTCAGCTCGTGACGGCCGCGATAAGTTATGGTCAAGAGGATACTTCGACATGCGATACCAGGTCTTCCCACACGGCGTCGCTGCCGAGAACAACCTACTGAAGCTGACCCATCACTGCTCTCAAATTGGCAAATGCACAGTCACTACACGTCGACAGCGATTAACCTGCGAGGCACTTGGAGAAGCTTGGGCACCGTGGACGCTGTGCTGTTACTTAGCAGTATATTGTACCGTTATAGGCAAATAACAACACAATGCAATGGCTTTCAGCGCCCCGAAACTCTGGAACCCTCTCCCTCTATCCCTCCGCCTTGCCCCATCCTTCCCCGTCTTTAGGTCCCGCCCGAAGACCTTCCTCTTTGGCGGTGATTACGGTCATCAACTCCCCCCCTACACCCCCGGCTCAGCATCGCACTCCACCACTGTCCATGAAGATTCTCCATCGGTGTAAGCGCGTGATGTGCGCGCGCGTGGGAGAGGGCTTAACGGGATCGGGGTGGTGGGGTGGAGGTGGTGGGGGGGTTCCTACCTGCTGCACTCGGCTAGGATCGTCCAGCTGTAATTTGGCGATAACGCAGCCTGGGTCCAGCACGGCTCCTACTCGCTTCACATAGTGAATACAGCCAGAGGCCTGGGCAGTCAGGGTCATTACCATCTTCATCACCTGAGAGAGAGAGAGAGAAAGAGAGCCAGGGGGGAGAGAGTGAGAAAGAGAGAGAGAGAGGGAGAGGGAAAGAGGAGGAGAGAGTGAGAGGGAGAGAAGGGGGGTGGGGGGGAGAGAAACGATGGGGAGAAAAATAATGGTGAATTTTTGCTCATCTTCGCGTGGTCCGCAACAGCCTCCCTCACCCTCACAGCCACCGAGTGCCCAGCATTAGAAACACAGAAGCAGGATGAGGCCATTCAGCCCCTCGAGCCTGTTCCGCCGTTCTATAAGACCGTGGCTGATCTGTGCCTCGAGTCCAAATACCCGCACCCCTTGATACCCCGACCTCTCTAACAAAACATCGATCTGTTCCGTTGGCTCAACCGCTCTCTCTCCCTCTCTCTGAGTTGGGGACGGAACGCTGTACGGTCTCGTACCTCGATTTCGGCGAAACATTCCCCGGAGAAGACGTGTCCCCCGTCCTCGATGTTGTACTGGATCAGTTTCCCCGCGGAGGGGGAGCGCAGGAGCGAGGGGTCGTTTTCCTTCTCGAACACACACGTCTTGTTGCCAATGGTGATTCGGTACCTGTGTGCGTGGGGTGAGGGGGGGGAGAGAGGGAGACGGCGTGAAAACCCACCCCACATTTTTGTTTTAAAAAGACAACATAACATACAGGGTGTCCACAAGCTCCTGTTTTTTTCTCTCTACGCAGCACTGATCTCGAAGCGCTGTACGGTCTCATGTGTGTGTCTGAGGGCTGTACGGTCTTGTGTGCGCGAGCGCACGCGCGTCTTTTCCTGGGCAAAACGCCCGTCGCGCTCGCAGCACGAAGCAATCACCTGTCGATTTCCTCCTTCATGTAGGTGGTGTAGCTGCTGCCGTCGTAAGAGAGCAAGAGGCCTCCGTCACTGAGCCTGTGAACGTCCACCTCCACACACGAACTGTTCATGATCACCACGTAACAGTTGGGGGACTGACGAGTGACCTGGGACCAACGCACAGAGAGAGAGAGAGAGACAGCAAGACAGAGACACAGAGAGAGAGAGAGAGTAATGTTATTCTCCTGTCCTCCCGGCCTGGCAAAACCCGGGAACAAAACGACAAAGTCTTATTAAGTTCATGTGAACGCCTTTCATGGAAGGACGTTCGTACAGTATAGACGAGGAGCGTACCTTCAGCATGTACTTTATCCCCTCGTAAATGAGCTCGACGTCCACAGTGTTGAGGAGGGTGTGGGCTGGCAGCACCTGACCCCTGGGGGAATACGGCAGGAGAGATCAGGAACCATCACAACACCCTCCCACCCTCACCCACATATACACCACACACCCTAACAGCACCCCCTACCCCAACCACCCCTCGTCCAGTCACTACACTGAGCAGTAATAATACTCCTTGGCATTAATACTATTAATAATAATAAACCTTGCTAGTAATATCATCATTAATAATAATTATTGTAATTAATATTCATAATAATCCTTGCAGTTAATACTATTAATAATAACAATCCTTGGGATCAATATTAATCCCCGCAATTAATGTCAATAATTGCTATTAATATTAATAATAATCCTTGCAATGAAATTGGATGCCGATTGATCTGAGGGCTCTGTAACATGCACAGGAGTCCTGGCTCAGTCGTTCCCTTCACAGGAACCCTAGGGGCTTGACCGTCAGGTCATATATATATAATACATATATAATACATAATACATATATTATATATAATACATAATACACATATTATATATAATATATAATACATATATTATATATAATACATATATTATGTATAATATATATATTATATACACACACACACACACACGTCATGTCCAGGGTGAATCAGATGTCTTTCCTCATACGAAGCTTTTAATTACTAATGCTTTTTTAAAAAAAAAAGACAACATTCATAGAGAGTGTGCAGCTAATACAGGAGACGTCTTTTAGCGCATTCGTGAAGCTTTTGTCAACGGGATGATATGTGTGAATGCCTACATAGCATGCAGTTCGAACATCTCGTATAGACCTGTGAGTAATAGTAATAATCCTTGCATGTAATAATCTTTTATACGTCTCAAAGCACTTCACAGAATATACTGTGAAGTGAACTGAACGTATATTTTGTGAGCGAAGTGCAGCAGCCAATTGCGCACAGCAGCGTCCCCACAAACAGCTGTGGATTGAGCGACCAAATTATTATTCTTATTTTTACTTGAAGGGATTATAATCCCCGGAAAAGCGATCCGCCAATCGACTAACAAGCGGGTTCCTATTAACTGCTGGGTAAACAGAGGCGTGGAGTAAGGAAACTTGCCCAACATTTCGCCCTGCCCGGGAATCGAACCTGGGTCCACTCGCTTGCGAGGCGAGTGCTCTAACCACTGAGCTACAGGACCTACAGGAGTTAGGAATGTACAGGAACATAAGAATTTGCAAGGTCCATCCAGGTCGTCTTTCACCATCCTGGCAGTCGCTTGGCATGTGTCAATTCCCAAACTATATTCTGTATCCCAAAATATTATTTCCTCAAAGAAATCTATCTCATTTGGACTTGAAAGAATCAACACTTTCTGTCGGTCTCTCTCAGGAGGGAGCCTGTTGTTTCTGATTCCCCCTGTCTATGTGGATGAAGATGTTTTAGGAAAATGGCTCGGACCTCTCCAGCGAATGCAGGAAGTTGGAAACGCTGTTTCGGAACGAGATGTCGGCCACGTGGAGAGCTCCGCATACAATCCCCAGCATCGTGTCCGGACGCTCAGCCTAGAGGCACACAGACAGGTTAGAGAGACAGAGTCAGGGAGAGCGAAGGAGAGAGATGGGGAGAGAGACAGAGAGAGAGAGACGCATAGAGAAGAGGGAGAGAGAGGGAGAAACCCAGAGAGAGGGGGAGAGAGGGAGAGAGAAATGCAGAGAGAGAGAGAGAGAGAGAGAAATGCAGAGAGAGAGAGAGAGAGAGAGAGATGAGTGACTGTGGACTTTCCTAGGATAACCCAGCGCAAAGCAATAGCGCGCAAACAACCAGAGAGCAAGTGACCAACTTTTATCTGGGGGATTGTTGGCCAGGACACCGGAGAGAGAGGGAGAGAGAGAGGGAGAGAGGCAGAGAGAGAGGGGGACAAAGAGAGAGAGACAGAGAGAAACTCCCTTCTCTTTTCAAATAGTGCCGCGGGATCTCTAACGTGGACGGGGAGGTCGATTCAATGTCTCATCCGAAGTACGGTGTCTTTCTCTCTCCCCCGCACCCCCAACTCCCAGCGCTGTGCTGGAGTGTCAGCCTGGATTGTGAGCTCAATGTGGGGCTTGAACCCCACTGACTTTGGCCGATCGGTACCTGGACTTTCTCAGCGATGAGCCGGTCTAACCAGCCGGTGTCGATGCTGTTCTGCTGGAAGCTCTTGGTCTCCAGGAGTTTGATCAGATACTCCACAGTGGTCCTGAAATCACCTCGAATCGACAGCTCCTTCAGCGCCACCACCATGTTCCTGCACGGGAATAACAGGCGTCAGGAAAGCTCCCGGCACACACTCACATACATACACGCACACATTCATAAATACACACACACACATGTATACACACGCACACACACATATACACACACGCACACACACATATATATACACAAATACACATGCAATCCAGAGATACACATGCGCACACATGTACACACGCACACACACATATAAACACACACGAACATAAACAAATACACACGCAAGCCAGAGATATACACAGATATATATATATATACACACACACACACACACATGCGCACAAGCCAGAGGTATAAACAGTCGCACATACAAATAGGGAGGAAGGGAGGGAGGGAGAGGGGCCGGCTGGATACTCACGAGATGGCTTCTTCCCGGTTCTCCCCCCAGGAGAAGCAGTGGCCAAACTGAGAATCCGCAAACTCATGCAGCCCCCCAGCCGCCGCCACACTGAAGTAGCCCCACACGTTCTTACTGCTGCGGAAATTCAGCTCCTGAACCGTCCCCGAGCTGGGCTTAAACCCCTGTCACACACAGAGAGAGAGAGAGAGAGAGAGAGAGAGGAGTCACAGAGTGAGAGCGATAGACAGAGCGAACGGCTCGATATAAATCCAAGTTGTTGTCATAGTTAGCACAATGACACAACGCTCCATGTCCCCCGACTTGCCCGCTCCAACATCGGAGGTCAGGCCTTCAGCCTCTCTGCCCCCACACTCTGGAACTCCATCCAGGACCCCCCCCACTCCCCCCCCACCCCCTCAACCCCGCCACTTCGCCCAGACGCTCCATCTTGTCCGGACAGGGAGAAGGGTCTGACCTCGTCGGGGTTTTCGCTGGTGATCCGGGCAGCGATGACATGACCCCGGGGGGAGGGGGCATTGGCCGAATTCTCGAAGTTGATGGGCTGGTCAGCCCAGGGGGCTACACCGTACAGCACGCGGATATCCTTGATCCTGTGCAGCGGGATTCCCATTGCGATCTGCGGAGACGAGAGCGGAAGGGGAGGGAGGGAGAGAGAGAGAGTGAGAGAGAGTCACCTCATAACACAGATCCCACGGTCCTTATCTGGGCTTCATATTTACACAGAGGTTTGAGCTCGTTCCAAAACTTTGTGCGAATTTCTTATTGAACGTTAAGACCACGGTTTTAAGGCGCGAGGAATCGTGTGTGGGCGGGCGTGTGGCTTAAGTGTGCGTGCAGACACACACACACACACGCGCGCGCCTATGTGTGCATGTGTTCGTGTATAGGCGCACGCATGTTTGTTATCGAGTGCACAGAGATAAATGGCTAGAAAATAAATATTGTGCAGTTTGTGTCTTCACAGAAGCAGGACTGACAACGGAAAAGCTCAGGACCCTGAAAATCAGGTTTGACAACCCTGCACCTCTCCCTCGTGAGTCACAAATGACACTGTCACACAACCTCCCTTCCCCCCCCCCCCCCCCCCCCAACTGTCCTTTTTTATTTCGGTGTCTGTCCCACGCGGAAACCCATCACTGTGCTTAAGAGTCTCCAAACCTAACAGGTGCATCCCAACTACACGTGGAAATACCAGAGCTAGATTATCAGAATGGAATGCACACCGTCTCTGGAGGAACGCATCCTGCTTAACTAGTCCCAGAAATGATTTGGTGCGGGTTGGGAAGAGTTCAAGGCTTGTGGGAGGGACCCGGGAGTGTGCGTTGCGGTAACTGCTGGGAGTCTAAAGCAGCGAACACCACACAGCATGCCTCCCCGCCCCCTCCCATCAGCCAGTCTCACCTGTAGCTGTGCGGAGGGAAGGTTGACGTCCGCTACCATCTCGGTGCAGGGGTGTTCCACCTGGAGCCTGGGGTTTAACTCCAGGAAGTAAAAGCTGCCGTCCTGACTGTACAGATACTCCACCGTCCCTGCGCTCATGTAGCCCACCATCTTAGCCAGCTTCACTGCGCACTGCGGAGATAACAACGACGACAATAATAATAATCCGTGCATTGGATGCAGCGCCTTATCACGTCGTTAAGACGTCTCAAAGCGCTTCACGGGACGCACCGTTAAGTGGATTGTGGGCGAAAAGCGGCAGCCGGTTTGCGCACAGCAATGTCCCGCAGACAACTATGGAGCGAGCGACCAATTTTATTCGGGGGGGGGGGGAGGGACCGTCAGCCAGGACACCGGGAGAGAGAAACTCCCTTCTCTTTTCGAACACTGCCGCGGGAGATCTTTTAGCTTCCACCTGAACAGGGCACAGACGGTTCAGCTCAGTTTAACGTCTCATCCGATGCAGTGCTATCCCCCCCCCACCCAGCCCTGTATTGGAGCGACAATGATACCGGTGGGGGTTGGTGGGTGGGATTGAACCCACGACCTTCTGATTCAAGAGGTGAGAGCACCGCAGAGTGAGCCAGGCTAACACGGTGAAGACCAGAGGAAAAGACCAGCCGGAGGACCAGAGTTGGCAGCTCACCTGCTCCATCTCCTCAAACACCAGGGAGGGGGCGATGGTGGCGGGGGCTTCCTCGATGATCTTCTGGTGCCGACGCTGGACGGAGCAGTCGCGGCCGAACAGGGAGATGGCGTTGCCGTACTGGTCAGCCAGGATCTGCACCTCCAGGTGCCGGGCATGCTTTGCCAGCTGCATCACAAAGATAGGAGACCCTGGCACCTCTGCCTGGACCTGCGAGGATAATAATAATAACAATAATAATCCTCGCATTTGATAAGGCGCCTTATCACATCTTCGAGACGTCTTGTAGCGCTTTGCAGAATATACTGTAGATTCTGTGGGCGAAACGCGGCAGCCAATTGAACACAGCAAAGTCCCACAAAACAGTCGTGGACTGAAGTGATCCGATTTATTATTGTTATTTTTTGAAGGAATTTACCACATACACACACCATTACCACAGCCACACTATTCCAGACCAATGGAGGACAACCTGCATCAAGAAGCCGTCACCCCCTGAACACTGGCGTTAGTCATTAGGTAACAATAATAATTATTATTATTGCCTCCGACTAATATTAATAATAATTATTAGTATTATTATCCGGTCAAATCCCTAACCGTCCAGCGCCTTGGGACGGTCCTCCCGGTGTGAAGGGCGCTACACAAATGTAATTTGTTGCTGCTGTTGTCGTTGTTGTAACGATACAGCATTCGATACAGCTCCGAATCAAGTCGTCGAGACGTCTCAAAGCGCTTCACAGGATACGCTATGAAGCGAACACCAACAGTGCGTTTCCAGGTTGTTTTTTTCTCCCCCCCCCCCACCCCCCCGGATTGAATATTTCCAGATTCAAGCCACCCGTCAAGAAATATTCAGTCGAGAAAATGTGATTTGTCGGCCAACCGTGAAGGGTTTGGCCACCGCTGCTCCAGGCAAAAACAAAACGGAAATGCAAGGTCACTGACCTGTCTGAAAAGGTTTGAGAAATCATCAGGGTTGTTGACTTTCCTAATTCCCTTCCCACCTCCGCCCTCCGATGCTTTGATCATCAACGGGTAGCCGATGTCCTCCGCAGCCTGCCGTGTGGGGAGAGTTGTCACAACATTAATAACACGAATAATAATCTTTGCATTTAATAATAATAATCCTTGCATTTGATATGCGCATTTTACGTTGTATGTGTGTGTGTGCATGTGTGTGTGTGCGTGCGTGTGTGGTGGTGGCACATGTGTGTGGCGTGCGTGGGGTGGGGCGAAAGAAAGCATTTCTCCCTGTACGTTTTCCAGCGAATGTTTGGCTTTACTGATCTCGAAGGTAAATAATCCCCTGGTCTCGGCTGCTCTCTCCGGCCTCTCCTCACCTTTAAGCCGCTCTCGATATCAGTTATGCAGCCTTTCTCGTACAGGTCGCCATCCACTTTTATGAGTTTCCTGGGGTCGTTCTCCTGCCATTCAATCATGAGGCCTGGAGACAACACAGAGTTTACACGTCTTTCCTTTCACACTTTCTCTCTCTCTCTCACACACACACACACACAAATATGCACGCACATACTTATGCGCATGTGCTCACACAAACACACTGACCCCCCCCAATCCCGCCCCCAGACCTGCAACCCTCCCCACTCAGATAACCCCGCAAATAGACCCCCCCGCACGAACACAGAACCCCCCGCACGAACACAGACCCCCCCGCACGAACACAGACCCCCCCGCACGAACACAGACCCTCCCCGCACGAACACAGACCCCCAACCCGCACAAACACAGACCCCCCCCCACCCGCACGAACACAGACGCTCCCCCACCCATATGAACACAGACCCACCCCCGCCACCCCGCACGAACACACAGCACTGCCTTACCGCTGCCGCTCCAGGGAAGGGTTGGAATCCCCGCCGTCTGTGCCACGATGGAGGAGGCGATCTTATCACCGAGCGCCCACATGGCCTGGCTGGGGGGACCTGGGGTAATAACAGCAAAACTGAAGCAGGCTGTTCCCTGGGGCTCGGACGGCTCAGGCCAGAGGGGGAGACGCCTCAGCGATGTCTCCCTCAGCGACTTAACACAGCGATGAGAAGAGGAGCTTCCCTAACCCCAGCGCAGACGTCGATCAGAGCCACGCAACTTACACAGAGGACCACGACATGGCTAGCGACCATCTTTTGTCTCCCCCCCCCACACCCCCCACCACCACCACCCCTTCCTTACCCATAAAGGCGATGCCGTGTTTGTGCAGGAGTTCGGGCAGTTTGGGATTCTCCGAAGCATGGCCCCAGCCAGCCCAGACAGCCTGTAGACGGAAACAGAGGCTGAGACAGAGAGAAAGAGACAGGGGAGGAGGGTGGGGGAGGAGGGGTGGGGGGGGGGCAGGGGGTAGGGAGAGTGGGCTGGGGTCAAGGGGCCCCTGAGGTAGAAAGACATTCGAGTGGCACGGGGATCGGAAAGGATTATCCCGGGTTCAAGTCGAGGGAAAACAAACCCTGGATAAGACGGCGCGAAAACATACAGTCAATTCACTTCACGGTATATCCTGTGAAGCGCTTTGAGACGTCTCGAAGGTATCATTTACCTGGACTGGGATGCGCTTGGCGATGTCCAAGACGAGCTCAACGTTTGCGTAGTTGTTGTTGTTGGGGCCCCCGGGTACAGGCACATAGTGATCCGCCATTTTGATGTACTCTGCAAAGAGAAAGCGGTTGGGGGAAAGGGGGGTGGGGGGGATGTCACTTGCTGTCTGACCTTTAACCTTCACACACACCCCGTGAGCACCAAGTCTCGACGTGGGGGCTTGAACCCACAACCTTCTGCCCAGGAGGCGAGAGTGTGAGCGTGACTGAGCCAGAATACAATGTGAAAGGCAAAGCAAAAAAGAGAGCAGGAGGGACGCCCCACCACCACTGCCCCCCACCTTGCGCCCCACTGCCTGCCCCCTCCCAACGCACCCACAATTGCCCGGGGCCCCCTCGCCGCCCAGACCGCCCGTCCCTGCACCCACCCCCCCAACCCCTTCCCAGTACCCCCCTCCCCAACACTGACCTGCGTTCGCCTTCAGGTCCTCCGGGGTTACCATGACCACGAACCGAATAGCCCGCTCGTTGCGAAACATCTCGTACGACCAACGCCGGATGGACCTCATGCACTTGACAGCTGCGATCCCATTGTTGGCGATCAGCACCTGGTGATGGTGGCGAGGGAGGAAGGAGGGGCGGGGTGGGGTGGGGGGGGCGGGCGAAGGGACAAGTCAATGGAACTGCAAGCTTTCAGCCATCCTACCCACCAGAGGAAATAGTCTCGCTGTATCTCCAGCTGAGTGCCTTCATCGCTCTAAAGGGTGCTGAACGGAATGCGTCTCGAGTGAGTCCCTTCTCTTCGACCGCGCCTTCGGTCACCCTCCTACCCCATCCCTCCCCTCCACCCCTCCTGATTCCACCCAGATCCCTGACTGTCCAGCGCCTTGGGACGTCCTCCTAACGTGAGAGGCGCTATGTGTGTGTACGTATATACATACACACACACACACATAATTTGTTGCTGCCCTGACACCTGTTCCTGAGCCCATCAAAACCAGAAACAGTAGAAGTTGGGGAGCAGCCAGGAGGTCAGGATAACAACAACAACAAGAGGATGATGTGGGCAGTGTGGCTCCGCCTCACTCCCAGCCCAGTTTCCTCAGGGACTTACCTTCTCGATGACTTTATTGCCCCCGAACCTGGTCACGAACTCCGCTGGAGAAGCCACTGTGAAGTCCCTCTGCAGCTCGAACCTCTTGTGCTCCCGGCCCTGCTTCACCAAGTGCAGCCCCGACATGCTGGGTCTGCAGAGGAACAGGGACCTCCTCAGTAATAGATTATTACTAGTATTATTATTACTAATGTAGCATTGGACTACTACTACTGCTAAAACTATTATTCTTATCCTCTGCAGCCAGGGAACAGATGAAGACAGAGCCTGGCAGCTTACACATTTTTTTGGCTGCTTTATAATCAATAATAATCCTTGCACACAAATCTTCTCAGTAATAAAAATATTACTGTTATATTATTATTACTGCATGCAGGGCGACCAAAAAAGTCACGATTCCATTACAATTGTCTAATAAGTCTTAAAAGAAATTATGATATCTATTGTTTAGGTAATAGGGTAGATATCACTACTTTTTTGGTCACCCTGTAGTATTATATTATTACTACTATTATAATCACTCTCTGCAGCCTTTTCTGTGCTGTCGGAGGCTGGTGCCAGGGAACAGATGGAAGACAGAGCCTGATGAAGGCAGAACATACCCCCAAACCCCCCCCACCAAAAAAAAAATAATAATAATAGGGTCACTCAATCCGCTATATTCTGTGCATCGCTTTGAGACGTCTCGAAGATGCGATAAGGCGCTGCATCAATTGCAAATATTATTATTATTAAAGCTGATAGGGGGGGAGGGGGAGAGGTTGCGCTGTGATAGGGTGTGGAGGGCGTGGAGGGTGGAAGGAGGTAGCTGAGGGGAGAAAGGTGCACCCCCCCCACCCCACCCACACTCCCCTCCAAGCCTCCCACCCCAACGAAGAGACGCCTTCAGCAATCTGGGGCATCAAGGCCTCAACGCTCTCTCACACTCACATACACATGAACGGGCAGAGCCTTAACAGTGCTGTTCCCACTCCACGACCAACTGACCTCTGCAGCAGGTGATAGATCGTCCGGTGCCTCTCGTCAGCGCTGCCCTCCATACCTGTCAGCCACTGTCACCACGGCACAGCTCTGCGGCTGCCCTGAGCCGGCTGCAATGGCTGGAGTCTGCGAGGTCTGTGTGCTCGTGTGTGCCTGCAAACTGGGCTCTGCTCCCATTGCTCTGTGCCTGGCAGCTCGGGGCTGACTGGTGAGGGGACGCTCTCTCTCTCTCTCTCTCTCTCTCCCCCACCTCCCTCTCTCTCGCTGTCTCTCATTCACGCTTCCCACACACACACACAGCAATTCGGCGAGAGCTGGGGGAACGGGGGAGTGAATGGGAGCAGCAATGATGCAATCTGGCCTCCGCAGCCTTTTCTGTGCCGACAGGAGGTCGGTGCCAGGGAACAGATGAAGACAGAGCCCAGGCAGCTTACGCCAGCTTGGCTACGCCGGAGTCGAGTCTCGCGAGCCCAGGTCCTCAGCGCTCACAGTTTCCCACCCACCCGCCCACCGGCACGTCTCCCGCGCACACCGACACACACCGTTTGGGCTGCTTTGTAATCAATAATAATCCTTGCCTTTGACACAGCGCCTCATCACGTCATCGGGACGGCTCGAAGCCCTCCACAGCCTATGCCGTAAAGTGGAGTGACCGTGGGTGAAACGCGACAGCCAGCGGCGCACAGCGGTGTCCGCACATCGCCCGTGGAGTGAGCGACCAATTTTATTTGGGGGGGGATTGTTAGCCAGGACACCGGGAGAGAGAGAAACTCCCTTCTCTTTTCAAACAGTAGCCTTGGGATCGTTTAACGTCCACCTGAACAAGCGGACAGGACCTCAGTTAACGTCTCCTCTGAAGGACGGCACCTCCGACAATGCAGCCCCCCCCCACCCCCAGGGCGGCACTGGAAAATCAGCTTAGACTGTGTGACCCATGTCCCGATGTGGGGTGACTCGAGCTCACAAACTTGTGACTCGGGAGGCGAGAGCTTTACCGACTGAGCCAGGTTGACACACAGTGCTGCGCTACAGTTAGTTGAAACGCAAACATGATCACAACACGACTGCCCAGCTCTTGCCCCATATCCATAACCTCCAACGACAGAACACTTCAGAGCGAGAACTACTGCCCTCAGCAAAAAAAGATTATGACATTAATCAGACCACTCTGCTTGTGTCGAGCCTATTCGTACCATCCCTTTCTCTACCGCCCCCCCCAAGGCACTTCGCAAAATTGGCTGCCACGTTAAGTCTACAGACGCAACCCCCAGTACTGTGAATGACCCTCGGGATGTCCTCCCGACGGGAAAGGCGCTGTGTAAACGTAACCACGGATTATATACTGCGTACACACTGGACAGCGATTATCTGCGCAGCGTTTTCTGAGACATTTCAATGTTACAGGCGCTGTATCGGACGAAAAGGATTATTTAAATGTACACGTTTTGTTTTGAGTCGGAAGAGAAAGAAAATCTTCTTGTTTTAGGTGAAAGGCTCTACGTAAACCGTTATTAACGATAATAATCCTTGCGTCTGTTGCGGCGACTTATCACGTTGTTGCGACGTCTCAGAGCGCTTGACAGAATAGACTGTCAAGTGTAGTGACTGTGTGTTTGCAGGGGGAATGCGGCAGCTAATGTGCCCACGGCGATGTTCCCGCAAACAGCCATGAAGTGAACGACCAATTCGACTTGGGGGGAATGTCAGGCAGGACAGCAAGGAAGGAAGATACACCCTTGACTTTTTGAACAACACCGCGAGATCTTTACTGTTCATCTGAAAAGGCTCTTGGTTTAATATAATAATAATAATAATCCTTGCATTTGATATAGTGCTTTTCACGTCGGGAGGACGTCCCAAAGCGCTTCACAGAACACACTGTAAAATGAATTGACTGTATATTTGTGGGCGAACGTGGCAGCCAATTGCGCACAGCAATGTCCCACAAACAGTCGTAGATTGAAAATGACCAATTTAATTATTGTTTTTTTGTTTTTGGAGGGATTATTATTAGGCTCTGTGTGGAGTAAGGAAACTTGCCCAAGATTTCGCCCTCTGCCTGGGATTGAACTCAGGTCTCTCACTTGCAAAGCGAGTGCTCTAACCACTGAGCTACAGGACTCCACAATGTCTCATCCGAAGGGCGATGAGACTCTAATGCCTCCCCCACACCAGCCCCACCCTCTCGCTCCCAGCGCTGTACTGTCAGCAGGGACCGTGACCTCAAAAGTCCCGACGTGGGGTGACCCACTTTTAAATTAAAACAAAGCTCAATGACCTGACTGAAAGAGGACACCGTCCTTTTAAAAGACCGTCCCGAGTTCAACCCACTACAAATTGCCAGGCAAGCTTGTAAGGTTCAGGGTAGGGGTTACGGCTGGAGCAAACGCCGTTGGGTCACTGCCAGCCAGCAGGATGGCAACCGCTCACTGCAGCAACAGATCGGGTGACTCTCTGTCATTGTGTCACAATTCAAAACAGTCTGAGGAAACGGTGGGTGGTTGGGTGGGGGGGGGGGGAGGAGATAAATAAGAGCTGACCTAGTGTAACCTCATCTCACTGGCCCTCACAACCAGGATATACTGCAGAATTTCATCCCATCCAAGCCCTTCATTGACCCAGATGAGATAAAAGTCTCGCTCAATTTTGCTCCTACTTGCTCCATGACTCCCACCGCCAAGTTGACATACCTTAGCAGCAACGACTCGCATTTTTATGGCACCCCGCACGCAGGGTGGTGCCCCAGGGGGCTTGAAATTAATTAGATTAATATTAGATTCCATGCAATCCATCCAACGATATTCGTCCCTTCAAACTGTGGTTTACGAATGCAGCCTAATCTCTGGGAGCGGAGCTGCATAAAAGGACTGATAAGGAGATTTATGTCTAAGAGATATGCATTATATCAAGATGTTTATTGCTTTATCTATAAAGGCCTTGCCTTATGTGATAGCACCACACATTACAATGACACACACACCGATGGACAGAAAATTGAAATGAGCGGATGATTCATTTGAATTTGGGGGTAAATTTGCAAGGTGGATGTTGGGGAATATAAGAATAGTAATCCTTGCATTCGATATAGCCCCTTGTCACGCTGTCGAGATGTCTCAGAGATTCAGAGGACCTAGTGTGAAGTGCAGTCTCTGAGCAGTGAGCAGGCAAACACAGAAGCCAAGTTGCAGAGCAACGACCCCTCAAACAGTTGTGAATGAAGTGAACAAGGATTATCGGCCAAGGCACCGGGAGAGGAATCAAAGGGCTTCCCAAGACAGATAACAATAATCCTCGCACTTGATAACATGTCGTTGAGACGTCTCAAAGCGCTTCGCCAGACATACTGTAAAGTGGATTAACTTGCGGGCAAAACACTGCAGCCAGTTTGTGCTCAGCAATGTCCCACAAACAGCCACGGAGTGAGTGACCAATTTTATTTGGGGGGGATTGTCGGCCAGGACAAGAACAGAAAGAGAGAGAGACTCCCTTCTCTTTTCGAACAGTGCTGCGGGATCTTTAACGTCCACCTGAACAGGCGGACGGGGAGCTCGGCTTAACGTCGCATCCGAAGGATGGGACTGAAAGGAAGTAACGCAGTTAAAGGATGGAGAGAGAGATGGAAAGAGAGAGAGGGAGTTCGACCCGAGAATGGCGTCTTACCTCATGTGCAGAGAGAGTACGTCGTTGCCCAGCCCCACGTCATCGGAGTTGACGGACGATGAGGGTGACAGGGAACGCTCCTTGTCCTCCAGGATGTCCGACTTGCTGCTCATCCCTACCTCGTCCTCCGAGTTGTCCTCCGACACAGAGCCGATGATGAACTTGTGGTGCTGACAGGCTGGTTCGGCATCAGGCACTGAGCCCCCAGCCTCCTGGTCACACATACTGCTCCCTCTGTCCCTTAGTCCGTCGGGATAATCAACACTCCCGGAAAGAACAAGCAGACCTGAAATGGGAAAGAAAAGGGGAGGGAGGAGAAAAAATAAATCACTTTCACCCAAATCAATTGTTTTTTCCCAAAAAAACACACCCAATAATAACCTTGTGCGACAGTCTAAACTGTCTGCGAGTGAACGTAAACTGTGGCTTTCTCCGTCTCCGGCTTTGTCTGCACTTGTGGTTTCCACGTCACACAGGCTGCCAAGGCACAAGATAAGAGAGCACATACCGCCTGTGAACTCGCACCGCCTGCTTCTCATTCAGAGGCAACTCCATCTCTGACACTGCACTAGTCGGAGTGGCAGCGACCTGATCGACGGGTTTAAAATGATAAAGGGACTCGATGGGGGAGGGGGAGAGATACAGAAAAACTACTTCCTCTGGTGAGAGAATCCAGAATTCTGGGGCGTAAATCTTAAAAATCAGAGCTATGCCAACCTACAGCAACAACAGCGGCCTCGCACGAGCGCAGCACCTCTCACGTGCCAGCAACCGTCTCGAAACGCTTTACGCACGAAAAGAGTTTGGAAATGCAGCCAATGTCGTTACGGTGGCAAAGGCGGCAGCTCAATTGTGCCAGTGACGTCCTGTAAACCACAGAGTGAAAAAGTCAATGCAGACTCTAAAGTAGCTCAGTGCCACCTGCTTTATTCCATCCAAATTCCAATTTGCACCGTAGGCTGAATACCTCCATAATACTATAATACGATTAGTTAGCGAGGCAGGAAATAAACACACGTGTGTGGGCGTGTGGGTGTCTAGCTACAAGATCCGTTGTTGATCAGCACCTTTCTCACAGGTCACCCTGTGTCTTTTATATGTGTGTGTATATATATATATACACACACACACACTCACACACACACACAAAAGACTGCAGATATCCTTCCTAGGGTACCACCCATGGAAGTGACTGTTCAGGGGAGAGAAAGAGGGGAGGGGGGAGAAATCTGTCTATAATCTACTCAGACAAGTAATAATAATAATAATCCTTGCCTTTGATACAGCTCTTTTCACGTCGGGAGGACGTCCCAAAGCGCTTCACAGAACACACTGTAAATAAAGTGAATCGACTGTATATTCGTGGGCGAACGCGGCGGCCAATTGCGCACAGCGACGTCCCCCACAGACAGCCGTGGATTGAAAATGACCAATTTGTTATTGTTTTGGGGGTTTTGGAGGGATTATTATTATTATCAGGGCTCCGTGTGGAGTGAGGAAACTTGCCCAGGGTTTGGCCCTGACCTGCCTGGGACTGAACTCGGGTCTCTCGCTCGCAAAGCGAGCGCTCTAACCACTGAGCGACAGGACTCCTCACTGGCCAGGACCAGGAAGCAAGTCACGCCGGGCCTCAAACCACGTTGTTGTCAGTTCAGATATTGCTCTACAGTACAGTACAGTACACAGCACCGGCGCAGGCTTTTTATTTGCTCAGCCCTCCCCTTTTTTGGTCTGTTCGTTGTTGTTTCTCTTTAAAGACAAACCAATCCTTTTTTTTGTGTGTTGGGAGGGGAGGGGATGGCGAGATAAAAATGCCCCCCCCGTTCTCCCTGCATCTCTCTCTCTCTCTCTCTCTCTCTCTTCTCCGCTGATCCTCCACCTGCGTCTCAAATCAGCGGATTCTTTCCATTGTACAACTCAGCAAAAAAAAAAAGAAGCACACAACGACTCAGTATGCCGTGCCCACCCACAGATCAGCATCGTCGTTCCAGGGGCACGCTGCAATTCGTTGAGTTAAATTAAATTGAGCAGGATTCTGGAGAGCAAATGCTTCGTTCAAAATTCAGATTTCCTACCCCTTCCCCCCCTCCCACACACACACACACACAGTATTCCCCCCAAACCCCATACACCCACATCCTTACACCCCATCCAACCCCTAAACAGACACATACGTACACCCCCTAAGCACGCACGCTCCCCCTAAACGCACTCACATCCTAACACGCGCACAGAGCAACAGCAACGACCACGACGACGACTTGGGTTTACATAGCGCCCTCCACGCCGGACGGCGCCTCAGAACGCTTCACGGTAACGGATCCCGGGGCCGAGCCGGGGGGGGGGGGGGAGGGAGGGGCGGGGGAAGGTGACCAAAGGCGCGGTCGAAAAGAAAGGTCTTCGGCAGAGACCTGAAGAGAGGCGAAGGGAGAGAGGAAGGCAGTTCCAGAGCCTCGGGGCGCAGTGGCTGAAGGCTCGGCCGCCGAGGGTGGAGCGGAGGACTCGGGGGACGAGGAGGAGGAGGTCAGACCCGGAGGAACGAAGGCAACGGGCGCTGTTTGAGGAGAGAGGAGGTCAGAGAAGTCGCGGGGGGTGGGGGGGGGGGGGGCGGAGGAGTGAGTGGAATACGAGGGCGAGGGATCTTGATGTCGATCCTCTCCGGGACAGGAGCCGGTGCAGTCCGGCCAGGACTTGGGGGGGGGGGGGGGGGGGGGGGGGGGAGTCGGGGAGCGGACAAAAAGAGTACCCCACAAATCCCGTACACATACAGCCTGCACCCCATACACCCCTTTAGCATTAGGTTATCAGGTGATTTATAGCCAGAACTTAGAATGTGACGGCTTATTGGCGACGCTATTTTC